TGTATGTGTGAGGTCACCCAGACCTTTGACACGTATGCCTAGGCAGGAGTAAGGAGGAGTGGAGGCTGCCCAGACCATCCATCCCCCTTAAAGCACAGAGACGCAATCCAAAGGACAGACTGAGTCCAGATGCTCAGTGCCTTAACGGCTGCAGTTATGTGGGTGTCTAGGAATTGAACACAGGTCTTCTGCATGGCAGACATGGATTCTACTACTGAAGCACAACAGCAGGTACACCTGTAGAGGCTTAAGTTCAAGTGTTTTAGAACCTCAAAAAAATCTAAGGCAGAATTTGCTATACACTAATAACTTTAAAGTAAAATTTCTATGGACCTCTCAGGATTAAAATCATGCTCCGTCCTACTGGAAAGCTAGGCAACTCCCTAAAATGGGTCTCACTTTGACAACATCTATTTTTAAGGCAGAAATGAGAAGTGAGCAGTGCTTACTTGAGGCCTTTCTTTTTAAAAGCAGCAGCAACCTTTGCATCCAAGCAGAATACAAAAAAAGTACAAACACTGCATGGGAAAATTTAGTTTTAAAATAGTTCTAATCTACTTATTTCATTATGTCTGCTGCTAACACTGTATCATCTTTATAGTACTCTTTTAAAGCTGATTTTGGTCAGTTACCTCTGGCAAGGACACTATAGGTTCAAAGTGGATATCTTCACTATGGACCTCTTCTTCATCACTACCATCCTCTTCCTCTCCTTTACTGGTTGCGTGTACTCCAAATACTGTTGCTCCAGTATTTGCCCACTTGAAGTTTTTATCTAGTTATAAAAGTTTTAAGGTATAAATATCTTTCCAAAATTTAAATACACACACACACAGGATATGGATTCAGTAGTAATTTAAAAATGGGCAGAAATTCAATGAACATATGTTCACTTACATACCACATGCCCCTCTCCCCTCCCCACAAGTTAGTATACAATGCTTTAAGCAGGGTGGCCAATTTGGAGGCTGGAATACAAGCACAGAGATGATGTAATGGCTGCTGTGAACCTGTTTCGCTGGCCCTTGGCAGACTTTACATTTAGGACATGATTAACCAGTTAGTCACATCTATACTAACTCAGTTCATGCAATTAACACCACAATTACACAAAATATACGTTATAATTTTGTAGCTGGTTCCCATCATGCCTTGAACTGCAGGTGTAGCCAGAGCTGATCAGCTGATTGGTGCTCTCAGCTTTGGGAGTGCACCAGAGCCTAGGATTTCTGTGGCTAGGGATGCCAGTCAGCTGATCAGTGCTGCCAGCCACAAGTACATTAGAGCCCTTCACCCTGGTAAGCTCCCATGGCTAGGGGACTGGTACTCCCACACTCAGGACTGCACCAGTCTTGAGGGGCTCTGGCACTCCCGAGGCGGGAAGTGCCAGTCACCTAACTGCCTTGTGACTGCACCAGAGCCTCTCAAAACTCCAGCTCACTCCCAATGCTGGGAGGGCCAATCAGCTGACTGGTGCTCTGAGCCACAGATGCACAAGCACCCAGCTTGCTACTTGCTGGTGCAGGGGGAGCCCTGGATCATGATCCTCTGCTCCCCCTGCACCAGCAACAGGGTGCAATTGGGATCGGATCCTCAATCCCATTATCACACCTCTTGCCACGCACATGTGGCAAGGCTGGAAGTGCGATTGTTGGGATTGTATATCAGTTCCCATAGGACCTTTAACTGAATGCGTGTCAGTGACCTCTGTGGTTGCAGAAAGGGAGGGCAGTGTCAGTTTTAACTTCCATATCCACTGCAGAACTGGCAATAGGATTTTGCTCAGCAGCCAAAAGCTGCTGACAAATTCAGCAGTGACTGTGAGAAGGTTAAGACTGTAGCTCTGGCTGGGTGGCAGTGACCAGGGTTCAGCCATTACTCTAGAGAATTCTTTTCTTTTCGTTATGCCTTCCCAAAAAGCGTGTCTTTTTTGAGTGCATGTGTTAAGTGAAAAAAAATATGGTAACTACTTACCATAAAGTCAGTCCAATATGAGTCCGTTTCCAAATATAGATTTGAAGCTTACCTTTAGAACCAAAAGCAAAGTCCCCAGAATTTTTTAAAGCCAGATCAGCAAATGACAAGCCAGCAGCAGTGTCAAATCCAAATGAGAGGGGTCCAGTTCCTATCACAGTAAGAAACAAGTTTATTAGGATTATTTAGCATTTTATTTAGGATTTTCCTCCTTCCCAAAGCAATTTTTTCCCTATTCTATCCCATATATTACTATAGCATTTACAAAACACCAAAATGGTAAAAAATGGTTAATAAAAGCGCTCTCTGTAATTTTCCACTGAATGTCAATGTATGGTGACAAAGCAAAGTAAGCCTGAAAAGGTTTAAGCATACCCTAACAAGCAAATATATCGGTTCTTTTGGAACTGTATAAAAGAAGTTACCATACTTTTCTGGGCAGAACTATGGAATTTTAGTAGTGCCTCATTGTTTGTATAAAAAGAACCTCCACAATTAATGAATATTAATGTACTGGAATGTTACATTAATTTTTTGTAAAAGTACTGAACATTTGTGGGATTTTTAAGGTACGGGTCCAGTTTTCATTAACTACATCAGTTCTTGAACTAAGCCAATTTATTTATTTTAATGAAGTTACTGTATTAAACAGAAACAAGATATTAAATTTCTTGTTAAGCTTGGTACATAAAGAAGTATGGTTTTAAACCACAAGACAACATTCTACCTTGAACTGTTGAGTCTGTAGAATCTGGATCATTTTCCTTTTTAGTTGACAAATCCACAGGCTTGTCATCAGTCCCTGATAAAGTCTGAGATACATGTGTACATTCTGTGGTAGACACTGGTTCTTCAGATGTAATGGTTGATTGAACAGATATTGCTTCCTCACTGATTGAGGGAACAGATACTTCCCTGGTAAAGACTACATCAGATGAACTGGTAACTTCATTTTCTTGAGACTCCTTTAAAAGAAACAAGACATGAACATTTTTTTCTTTTTAAGTTTCCAGTGAATATTTTAGAGGAGGCCATCATTTGAAACACCTGGAACAATGTTTTTCAACCTCATTAGACTCGCAGCCCCTGCAGAGAGTGTCAGCTCTTTGCTCATTTTCTGACTGGGGATGGGGGGGAAGGGAACTCTCTCTGTTTCTAATTATCATCTATTATCATCTGTCTATATTATAATATCTATCTGGTTATTAGTGTTCTTGGTGAATTCTTGGCAACAGAAGACTTTGGCAAAAACACTAACAGAACACACACACACAGAGAACAACTGTGTGCACTCGTGTGTGTGGGTGTGCATGCGTACGTGCATGTGTGCACACATATGCATACATTTATGTATGTATGTATGTGTATAAATATATAAATATAAATAAATATGCATGTGTACACATACAAATGTGTACGTGTATGTGTGTAAATACACACACACACACACACACACACACACACATGTAAAGCACAATTCTTGTATTGCGAAGCACTTGGCAAGAACACTAAGATTAGAAAGTTTTTGACCCTATGGATTTGTATTTAAAAGGTCTCTGGGTTTATCTTGTGAATCAGTTACAATATTCTACAGCACCATTGAAAGGATTCCACAGTTCTCCAAGGTGACAAATCATGGGTCTGTAATTCCTCTGAAAAATATCAAAACCTCATTTTCCACTGCTGTTCCTCCATTTGTTCACTAAAGAACACTGCAGAAAGGTAGAAACCTTGGTCTACTAAGAACCAGCAGTAGCAACTTTCAGAGTTGCTGACCACCTTCAGTTCTCACCAATTTGTGGGCAATCTATGAAGAATCAGATAACTCCTGACTTCTACACTTCTCCCTGTCTAAACCAAAGATGTGGCTTGCATACCAAGTTGTAGAAGTCTGAATATTCAAGCTGGATGCCACAATTTCTCACCTCTCAATGGTAAAACTGAGATAAGTTTAAAAAATATCAAATCCTAGTGTACCAAATTCTTCCAGAAATGTTTGAGAATTATGGATTTTAAAAAGTTATTTCAAAACAGTATCTGGGATTTCTTCAGCACCCTACTACTAACTGAGCTTAAATCAATATGGGTACAAGGAGCATCTTAAATTCTGCCCTTGAATTTTTTCTAAAGCATTTTTTCAAAAGCATTTTCTTCAAACCAGATTTTAACTGGATTAAATAATTTTATTACAGCTTTGGTAGAGATGATCCAGGAGGGAGTTAAAATAAATATCAAAGCTATGAAACATGACCGGGCAGGTGCAAAGCTCAATTGACCAACATGGGGAAGCTTCTATTGCCTCCAAACAGGGGGCTGGTAAGACTGTAGTTAACATCCAAATTTGGGGAGATACTCTAAAAACACAAAATACCATGCATGAATGTGGAGGAAACTTTCAGGCTACAGAATACCTTCTGGCCTACCTGTGTACAGGGGTACCATACATCAACAAGGACTACATATTGCACAGTAATAGTGCCTTGTCCCTGGACCCATATTTGACATGTGAGGAATAACTCATTTTGTAATTTATTTTAATACAAAAAAAAATTAAAAAACTTAAAAGGGAAACCCACAGATTAAACTCTACTAGATTGCATCAAAAGAAAACATCTAAAATTATCTTAAAGTTTCATATAGTTCAATCAGATTTAGTCTAAACTGCACCTCTTGAAGGGATTACTCCCAAATAAGGAAAATTAGTGCACACCAAGATGTGGGAGCAGCAACATCCATTTTAAAAAAAGCAAACATTGATGCAATGAATTTAGAAGGAATTTGCAACCCTTTGAAGTTAAAATTCTTAATGATGAAACAAAACAAAATTTGAAAGCCATGCTTAAAGATATAATTCCTACTTTAACTTCTTGAGTTTTTTTCATCAGTTCTGTATGAAAATCTTCCAGATTGTCATGGTCTTCATCAGTATCACTGCCGACACCACAGAAATATGTTGAAGGGAGCATTAGAGTCTCTGCTTTGACCTTCTCCTCAGGAGTTGGTTTCTTTTCCCAAACAATGACGCACTCTCTCTCACTCTTTGGTTCATCCTCACAGGCCATACCTACAGACAGCACACTACAAATTACTGAAAGCAGAAAACAAGACAGCAAGATATTTCTGAAATGCTAAAACCAAAGGGATAACACTTGGGTATACAGCTTGCCAGCTAGCGCTGACACTTAACAAATCAAGTTCATAACAGGTTAATAGGAAAGTAGGGCTGTAAGAGACCTCACAAGGCCATCTAGTCCAGCCCCCCTGCTCGCAGGATCATCCATCCTAACCAAATGTCTGGTAAACCTGCTCTTGCTAATTCTAAGAATGGAGATTCCATAATCTGTCTAGGTAGCCTGTTCCAATGCTTGACCACTATGACAGCCAGAAAATTCTTCCTAATCTCCAACCTAAATTTCCTTTGCTTCAGCTTGAGGCCACTGCTTCTAGTCCCCTGTAGCCACAGAGAAAAGCCCATCTCCATCTATGATCACCATTCAGGTATCTGAACTTATCAAATTCCTTTCCCCTCTCTCTCCTTCTCTAGACTAACTAACCCTAATTCCTCAGTCTTTCTTCATAAGTCTCAGTTCCCAGAATGCTAATAATTTTTGCTGCTGTGCACCTATACTCTCCGAATTGTCCACATCCTGCATGAAGGGTAGGGCCCAAAAGTGAACATGGTACTCTAGGTGAGGCTTCACCCATGCTGAACAGAGTGGAACAATCGCTTCCCATGATTTGCAACTAATACTCCTTTAATACAACACAGAGTATTGTTGCGTTTTTTGCAACAAGAGCACACTGTTAGCTCATATTCAGCTTATAGTTCACTGTGCCTCTCAGGTCCTTTGCTGCAGTACTGCAGCCTAGCCACGTTCCCGTCTGTATTTGTGAATGCAATTATTCTGTCCCAAGTGCAGGATTTTACACCTGTGCTTACTGAATCGTATTTGATTGATCATAGACCATTTCTCCAGTCTGTTCAGGTCATTCAGGATCCTAGCCACACCCTCTGGAGTATCTGCAACTCCACCCAACATGATGTCATCCACAAATTTGGTAAGCATGCACTGAATCCCACCACCCAAATTATTACTGAAGATATTCAACAATATTCAACTGGACCTAGGATACATCCCTAGGGAACCCCACTCAATATCTCCTCCCAAGTAGGCACTGAACCATTGATGACTTTGTTGAATACGATGATGCAACCAGTTATATATTCATTATCCATGTTAGATTTTATTTGTTTTCGTTACCTAGAGTGAGTTGATCCAATGGGAAATACTCATTTTAGAACCCTCCTTTTCTAGTGGGGGCTTTTTATTTCAATATGAAAGTTGTCAAGCTATAACAATCATTCTGCCAGATGCCACCTAGAGTAATTTATGTCAGACAAACCACTCTGCTGTTGTCAAGTGACAGGTAGGGAGAAGGTAAATCCAAATAGAAGTGCATGCCAACAGTCTTCTACCAATGTTTTTGTAGAAACTGTCTCTAGCCTTTATAGCAAATCTAGGTTTTAAATCATTAACTCCTTCTGCCACTTAATCCCTCAAATAACCATCCATGATGTGGTAAAGCCCAAATCTTCAAACCTGTTCCTGTTTTTTTTTCCCCACCCCATCTCTTTCAAATTCTCTCAAAGAAACAGGGTTTTTAAAAGAGATCCAGCACATGCTTACCTTCATTCTAGAAAGGACAACCTGGTGTCAATAATAAGGAACGGTTATTCATGTGCAATTCTTAGTTTCAGCTTCAACACCTGGACATGGTAGTTTAAATATTGATATTGCTAAATCTTTTTCACTAGAGATCACAACAAGAACGAACATCCAAATCACCACAGACCAACAGGAACATACCAGTATACTTTTGCTTATAGAGGTATGTTCATGCAATAGCTGTTTATTTGCATCTTGGTACTGGCATGGGGACAGTCAAGAATTTCTGAAGAAAGTCAGTTTTTGAGAACAAAGTATTTTGTGAAACTTAAGTAGTGGCACTGTTGTAGCCATGATGGCCCCCAAGGAATATGCATGTAGGATGCAGGAGTTCCTTGATAATATATCTTATTAAACCATCAAATGTAGACAGAGAGATGTCAGATAAGACTTCAGGGATAATATGCCCTTCCTCAGGTCACTGTAGAACTAAGCTCAATTTAACAAACTACTGACTGAGCAGAGAAAATTGCTTTGGGTTCTGGAAAATCGCCTGACACGTTACTTTTGACCACAGCCCTAGCATGCCAAGTGCTACATGGCTGGAGACCTAGAGCTGTATGGCTTCTCTGTAGGAAGCCTGGGAGTCCTAGACCACCACCAATATTAAGCAAGTTCAGAAGGGTAGTTGACAGTCGTTTCAAGATTTACCTTTCACTGGATCTTGTGAAGATGTACATTCCTCTGGATCATCAGCATATAACTTTCCATTCAGTTTCTTAACAGCTGTGTCATAATCTTCATCTTAAAGAAGTCAAGAGAGTCCATCAGTTCAGACATCCGCTGTGAACTTACAGCTCTAGCTAATTTGTCACAGGCATGTGCTCACTACACTTGCAAAATTCCTGATTCTGGCTAGCTTCTATATTTAAAAAGGGAACAGCCAAAACAAAAACAATGTTTTGGTTAAAGTTTAACTTTCCCCTTCTAAGCATCTGTTGATATTCCATCAGTCAGAGTGTAGGTATAACATTGTTCCCCCAAATTCAACTCAGAGGTAATTTTTAAAGTGATCCCTTACCATCATCCTCTTCACTGACATAACCAGCCTTGTTCTTGTAGCAGAAGAATGTTGAAGGGAGTTTAAGAGAGTCAGCAAGAGCCTTCTGTTCAGGTGTAGGTTTCAATTCATACACAATGAGCACATCATCAGACTGAGTTTCTACAGGGGATTCCTTTTTGCTCTCAACTATTACAAAACCAAAAAAAATGACAGAATTGAAATGAAAATGTTTGAGAACAAGTCTGAAAAATAAACTGTCATTATTAGTAGAAAGTTGAAAGCATTCTGAAGGCTAAAAAAGTTAGAAAAAAGCCTGTGTTGCAAATATATTTAGCTACAAGAAAGCAAGTATTATGGCAGGACATTAAGAAGCATATAGCATCTTTCAGTTTTCATAATCCTTACTGATTTTGGCCATACTGCTTAAGCAAGATAAAAAAAAAATTGCTGTTGTTGGATGCATTTTAATTTTTAGAACCTTTAAGAAAGCAGGTTGTGTTTGGCATGCTACGTATTTATTAATTTGAGCAATGCAGTGTATAATTTTTAATAAAGAATTAATCTTTTAAGAAAACAGGTTACTCTGCCCCGAGATCAAAACTGCAGGCCAAATTACATGATTTACTACTCCTTGCATTTTTACAAGCAACTACCAACTTGATTTTCTCCGGGGTCAGTAAAGTTAAAATTCATGTGACTGGAAATTACTTTACATTACACACATTCTTTCTATATATAAACTGGACTTTTAGGGCTACTTTAAAAATGTGATGCCACAGCACAGGGTTATGTAAGCAATACATAGCATTAATATTAACAAATTTAACTTCCATTCTTCACTTGGGACAGGAGCATTAAAGTTCACTTATGCCTTATGTCATTTTTAATTGCTTAGCTTTTCCAGCTAAGGAAACTGCCACATCTATACCTTCATTCAACATTTTACCCTTACCAAAAAGCAAGGAGATTCTCCTCATACCCTCTCTCAACATTTCTAAGGAAGAAGTTTGAACACATCAGTACTACACCAGTATTTGCTTGGTACAGCCAAAGTAGGCAATTGGATAATATCAGAAAGGGGCACTTCATATAACAATGCTTAGGCAATTTGCAACTTCCGATTAAAGCAATCAGAAAAACTGAGCATGCTTTACCATACTCAAATGTGTCTGCCAGCACAGGATTTTTTTTCATCTAACAAGTGAACAAATTCTCTAAGGATCAAGCAGGTCAAATCCTGGAGCTAATGAAGCCAAATGACATTGCAACATTGACAGAACCAGAACCTCAACCATCTTCAAAAACGGCTTTGCAGCTTTTATTTCAGGTTCACGAATGAACTTCTGTAATTATTTCTCACATTCTAGTCTTCCTGCAAGACAGTGGGTCAAACTGGGAAGTCTAAGCTTCTGCAATTTCAGTCATGTAGCCAAGTGTAGCTAAGAGTTAAAATTAGACCTCCCTAGTAAATGGCCCAGAGTACCCTCAAATAAAACAAAAAACCCAGCCAAAAACAAAGCATAGTAGGGATAAAAGACCAACACTCTTGCTGGATTTCCAAGGGGGGAGGGGGGAAGAACAGGACACATGCAACTCCCCCCCCCAAAAAAAATATTTGTATCTTAACTACGCTGGCAGCCAGTGAGATGGTTCTAAGACCAACAGTATCTAGCTTCAGGCTTTTGGATACTAAAGAGATAAAAAGGACAGCTTGACCCTGAACTGCAAACCCTGTTCATCACCAGAAGGATTTTCTTGCCCAGAACTTACTATTTCTATCACATTATTAGCAAGCACTACCTTTTTACAGCTTTAGAAGAGCTTTGCAAATAAAAACTTAAGAGTAACTGCAAATGTTACTGTCTAACAGCAAAGAGTAGATCATATAAATATGCTTTTAATAGTCAAAACATTCCTTTGATTACACTGAAAGGAATCAGTTAAAAAAAACCAAGACGTGCTTACTTCTGGGTTAAAACTACAGCAGTTCAGAATTTAAACAAACCACGTAAGATTCCTTTTCTATTCTATGGTTTTAACCACTCAAACACAACCATGCCAAATGTCACACTTGATCAGCTTATCCAAACCAAATCCACTCCAGGAAGCTTTAGTCCAAAGTACTTATCAGTCTTACACCAAGTTAAAAAAAAATATAGCTGTTGTAGGAACATACTAACATTTACTCTCAAGAGGCAACAGCAAGCTTGTTGCATGCAACCTTAGTGGTGGCTCCTCCAAAACAAAGCTGAGCAGGTACATTCACACTGCCACTGCCCATGCTGTTTGTAGCTAGCTAGAGGACATTAGTTTGCAGTGCTTCCAATCTGGCACCTTCTGTGGGCACCAAATCCATCACTTACTTCTAACATGCAGAAAATGGCTTTCATGCAAACTATGCCTAAGGGAACATATTAATGTATTATGTGCAAGTCAGTTCAAGTTAACAAGGCCATGGCCAGAATCCTTTGAGAGAGTCCAATACATGAACACTAGGATTTATGACCTCAGCGGTCCAATGCCCAGGCTCACTAAATGCACAGTTCAGGGACTAGTTGCAAAAGAGCTGTTGCATATTGCAGACAGAAATCCCAGATCTGGCTTAATTCTAATTATTACCTAAAACCTTGGTGGCAATTGCACAGAATGGTTTGCAATGAAAACTGTTTATCCATATACTCCAAAAAATTCTCTATTTTCCTATCCAGTAAAAGAGCAGATATGGCTGAGCTACTTGCAGGACTTCTAACACTGCTATACACAGCCATGGAAAGTTGTACACAACATTGCTAAGTGGGCTGTTCAGCTGTAAAAACCCCAAAAGGATTTGTCTGCTCAAATCATGAAATAAGGAAAAGTGAAGTCAGTTCAGTTCATATAAAAGAGGTTGCACTCATCCACAACTGCTCTCAGCAATTCTGTCTTTACTTTTTGTTTCAACTCAAACACTGATATTAGAAAGACCTAAATAGGTTAGACTTTAGTAGCTAGGTATCAATGTTTTTTGGTCATTCAAGATTACTATTTTGTAGAGTATAAGGGACATGCATTAAATTTTTGAGGATTTTTTAATGCAATTATCAGATGCCATTTAAGGCATAATTGAAAGATTTACTATTTTTCAGAATACTTAACAGATTTCCCTCAATGCATCCATTTAGGCCAAGTCAGAAATTACTGTTACAGTTATAACGAGGTTGCCTTTACATGTTTCTAAGGACAGAAGTAATGCCTGAAATGGTTCCATGTGAAACACTTGGAAATGTTTCATGAAGGTAGCATTTCAGCCACAGTACACAAATGCCCCTTTGCCATTCCTGGCTGGCGTGTTTCAGGACACTGCAGCTCCTCTAGCACCAGCAGGCGGCAGCAACCTACAGTGTGTCCTTTATTCCCCCCTTACCTCTCACAGGGCAAGAGGTAGAGAGGGAGGCAAGAGCCTTGCAGAGAGGGGGTGCGATGCTAGTGAGGGGCAGGTCCAGTGCTCTCTACCTCTCCTCTCCCCCCTCTAAGCCTGTCACAGGTAGCAGGAAATGGAACTGAAGAGCTGGGCTCCTTCTTCCCCATGTCAGCAGGGGTCTGGTCAGGGAAATAGGAGGGGAGTGAAATGGCCTGGCAGGGGCAGAGGTCCCAGCAAGGAGCTGGTTGGGAGGGTGGCCTGCAGGGATCCCAGCAGTGGCCTGCAGCCCCACCACCTGCTCTACCTCTCTCTTTAGAGAGAAGTGAAATCTTCCACAACAAGACTTCATTTCAAGAGGTTTGTGGTATTTCAGGTGCTTTTAGGATGGTTTCAAAGGGTTTGTATACGCATACAGCTGGCCCTTCAAAAAGGTTTCAAAAGTTGTTTAAAACATGTTAATTATGTGTGTCCATACCCTAAATTGTTCCTAGAAGCCCTTTGGCCATATTTAAGGGATGAACTTGATAGTTAATTCAGATGAGGGGATTAACAGAGGACCTACATCAGGTTAATTAACTGCAGCTGCATCTAAGGTAGATCAATGTTAAAACTCTTTAAAAAAAAGCTAACATTCACAAAATTGTGAGAATGATTATAAATATACAACTACTATATCTTTAGGAGTATCAATCAAGTAGGAATTAACAGTTTGAAGTTTCTAAAAAATAGAAGCTTTTGTTTTTTCTGTATAATAAAAGTGCTTTAATGGAACATCTCAAAATTGAAGATGATGGGGAGATTTAGCAGTTTAAAGGCACAAAGAACAGTGCACAAGTTAAAGATTAACAACTTGAAAGCGTTTTTTACCTTAGTTTTTTTCTTTTTTACAAGCTATAGCCAAGTTATACTTACTCTGTGTTTTACAATAAAACTAAAAAGGTTTTTACTGTGTACAAGAGGAAGACCAATTTAAAAAAAACCCAAAATCAGAAGACAAATTAAGGGCAAAATGGAAGGACATTTACTCCAGTTTAAATATACAAACAATAAATGAAACCAGCTTGGAACAGTAATGTAGAGCTAGTAGTGACTGAACTTAGTGATCTATTAAGATTACAATGTAAAACACTATGATATTCCCCCCTAGGTATAGAGGAGTCATTTCCTTGACAAAATTTTGTTTCAGAAAGACGGTATTTGATTTTTTTTCTTTTCGTAACACTGGTAGATGTCTCAATTATACAGTGTCTGCATGTACTTGCTCAGCACCCATGAGCAAGAGATTCTTTATATATGCTTTAAACCCTTGTACTTTTTAAAACACCATCTGTAGAGAATTTTCTACGGTTGGGCTTACTGTTTTCTAAATAAAGGCTCCAGAAATAAAGCACGTTGTTCTCAGCAAGTCATTAATGACCCCAAACACAAAAATTAAAAGTGGAGGAGAGCATCATCTTATGGAACCACATGCTGTGTGGCTAAAGAACTGACCTTCCGATCTCTCACCGTGTGACTTGTTATGAAAACCAGAGGCAAGCCCAGTAAGAATAAGCAAGCAAACTGAATGTTTCTAGTTGCAGACAGGCTGATTCAAATTGAGGCATTATGGAAAACTGATCATCTGGATGTTTGATTTGTGCCTGCTTCCCATGTCAGAGGTTTGTTTTTACACATTCATTTCCATTCTCACTGTCAACTAGTAGGAAGTAAGCCGCTTCATAAAGAATATCAGAATCATCTGCCTTTCAGACAGACAGACACAGTGAATTTCCTTAATCTTCTCTTCAGGAAGATTTTAGCAAACAGATCTAAAGCCCTATAATAAATATGAAGCAAACTGAAGCTACTACACAGCTGAGCATTGCAAACGCCACCAGTTGTGGATATTAATACACATTAAAAATTAACAGAAGTAATTATACCCAACTATCACAGGTATTAAAAAAAATTAAAGATAAGAAGTAGTTTTAACTACTTCTCTCAGCATGCGTGTTAATTAATCTAATTTCCATACTATTAGAGAGCCAACTGCTTTGCCACATTTGACCAGCTGTCAATACCTACTACAGAGTGATTTCATCACACATTCAGTGCAGTGTGTAAATACCTTTACTATCAGGATGAAATGAAGGTGTGCTGGTCCAAAAGGCCATTGGATTAGATTTAAAAAGACTAAAATTAAATCCTAGAAAATAAAGTGTGGGTGTAAGTGTTCATCTGGTATTTTGAGGGGGTATAAACAAACTTACCTATGTTGTGAAGTGAAAGTTTTCAATATTTACAGATCACGGAATTAGTTATTGAACAGTTTATACTATGTGGTGTATGAATTTATCCAACCCACTTAAATATCATATTTACTTGAAATACAAATAATGCACATTTTAGCCACAGACTCTGCAATGTTAGGCAACACTTTTTAGTAAGAGGATTTATTTCTACTTCAATAAATCATTTTTCACTTACTGCTTTATGCCATCATAGAGTCCAATATCACATGCTTCATTTTAGAACAGAGGTGATCAACTTGTAGCATGTGCGCCACAAGTGGCAAGGGAGTCTGTGTGTGACTGGCAGTAGAGAGAGGAATGAACTGGCAACACAGCAACAGATTGGTTTCTGCTCCCTGCTCAGAGCAGCTGATCAGGCAGAAGGGGATTGGAGTGTCACTCTGGGAAGGCAATGGACTAATCTGTGGCCTATCTGCCATAAAAAGGTTAACTTCCACCAGGTTCAAACTATTCAATGTGGTGAAATCTTAGTTATATGGCTACTGGTAACAAGTCTAGGCTGAGGTCTCAAAGTCTGTGAAATCAAAGTTGCTATTAGCTTACATGAAACCACAGAACATTCAATATCAGTCTACAAAGACAGATCTCATGCTGTAATCTCCAATTTCAAGACATCTGAAGTAGTTAGCTGAAGACCACATTTTGGTCACTTGTGATTAAAAGTCAAATTTTATCTACCACAAAATTGTTTTAGTAACGAGCATTTTCCTGGCTTAGTAAGTTGTAAACCACCTGACTTCTACAAGATTTACGAGAGGGTAAATAATTTGATAAACCTGGTTTTCACCCTCACTAAGCAGTGCCAACTGTAACAGTTACCTGTTAGTTGTTAACTAAAGGCACTGTACCTCTCCAAGAAGAATAAAATGAAGTTTTCTGAACTCTATTGTCCAAAGAAAAAGAAGAGGTGTAAGGACTTGTATGTCTCGTGTAAGAGGCAAGACTCAAGGATCTTAGAACCCATCTTTCTCCCCCCACCCCTTATTTGTACAGGTTACAGTTAAAGCAATTAAGCCTGAAACAGCTGTCTTTGGCGTGCCTTACGAGCTACCAAGTCTTATTCAAATGTTTAGATGTGGGCACATACAGCAAACTGTAAATTAACCACTCCAAAGGAAATGCAAATCAGAAGTTCATAATTTGGGGAGAGGAAGGGGTAAGGGAGGGAGGAAGGAATGTATAAGAGAGAGACAGCATATCCGAACAATGCCACACTGGTAAAATAACCAGCATTTACTGCACTGGTTGACAAGCATGTCAGTTTTGTTACCCCTTCCATGCATTTTCAAAAAACAAAAGTGGAAGGAAAAAAAAAAAGCACAGAACCATAAAGTTGAGAGATCTGTAAATGGCTATTGAACAGAATGGCTGGAGAGGTTTCTGAATGCTGGAGTGGCATCTTTATACCACTAAGTGGCAGATGTCAGGGAGGATATTAAATAGGGGATAGATTACTCGAGAACTATCCAGTTCAATGATTTACCTGGATAGCATCTATCTCTACCACTGTCAGAGACAGGATACGGGCTAGATGGAACTTCTTATGTTCTTAATACTTCAAGCTAAAGATGTTTTGTAATAGAAGTTAGAAGTCTAATGCAAACTAAAGGAAGGAAGCCTAACTTAATATTAGAACCTACTGTATTTGCTTGATTAGATGAGATTGTCCACTGTTAACATGGGGGGGGGGAACCCATGCCTTACAATCAAGCACAAGGCAGCAGCGGGGGTAGGCAGCTGCCACCTGCCCCCCACCCGCTGCCTCTGAGCATCCCACTACTTCTGCCCTACAGGCCCGAGTCTGCGCCCCTCACTCCTTCCCCCCCACTTCTTCTCTGTCACCTCTGCTACACTCCTTACTTTTGCTCTGCACTGGCAGGCTCCATCGCTGCTACAGCCTGGTGCACAAAAGATTACTCCAACCGAGCCCCATAGCAGCAATGTGTGGGGAGCCAGCACCTCTGCTACAGGGCTGGGCTGGAACAGCAGTGCTGGCTTTGTACCACTGCTATGGGGCTGGGCTGGAACCATGCTCTTTGCCCCAGACTGCAGCAGGGATCGAGAGCTGACACAAAACAGAAATACAGGAGGGAGAGATGGGAGGTAGGGGGTGTGGGGATTTGAGGTTGCAGGTAGCAAAAGCAGTGTGGAGGGGAGAGGAGGAGTACTCTTCATCTTGTACTTGGGTAAATACGGTACTATATGGTAATTATATGGCAATATAACCAAAAATTTATAGTAAAAAATTTTGGGGATTTTCAGAAGTCTGAAACATTACTTTACTAAATAAATCTACTAACAGTGGAAGATAGGAAGTTTTCTTTAATGTAAATAGCTCCCAGTTCAGATAATGCTTACCTTTTTCTAGTGTTTTAAATGTGCAATTTGAAGACTCTTCCGTTGAAGAAACTGAATTGTTTTCCGTCTTGCCGTCTGAAGCCTTCTGATTAACAGCATGGCTTTTCTGATGTTCAGTTACTTTGAGTTCTCTCTGCATTGTATTTTGTGACACTGAACTAGCATCTTCAGTTTTATTTTTTGAAGGAGGGGTAAAGCTGAAGCCAAACAGAGATCCAGTAGCTGAAGTATTTCCAAATGTGAATGGCTTTGATTTTTCACTACTAAAAATGCTCTTGACAGATTCCGAGCCAAATACAAATTTAGGAGGAGAAACCACTGCTTTTGTTGGTGTTTCGGAAGTGCTCGACACCTCTGATGCCTCTACAGTCACATCAGAGGTATCCTCATCATGGATCTGATCAGTTCTCTCCCTGGTGGTTTCCTCCAGCACAACTACAGCAATTTGACCACACGGAGATTCCTTTGGAGTACTGGCACGTGAAGAGAGGGGTGTAATCAAGGTGTCTTTTTCTTGGGCATGTTTTGCTTCATCAAAAATTTGCTTAAATGAGTCTGCAACATCTTGAAGCTTGAACCTCACAGCTAAGAGCTCCATCTTTCTTTCCCCATCTGCAAAGTCACAGGCAGTCCATACCCATGCTCTATCAGTTCCTTTCATCTGCTGTACGTTCATGTCTGGTGTTATTCTATGATTGGCACAGAGTTTTAATACCTGATCCCTTCTCATTACTATACGAACTTGTTTGTTGTCATAGTTCTGTAGAATCTTTATATCCCCAATACCCCTCTCTTTCCACTGATTAGCATCCTTGTCATATCTATAGAGTTTAGCTCTGTGACTGAAAACAACTTGCTCATTTTCTTCACCACTTGTCACTTCTACAAGGTCAGGTAAAGGTACCACAGGTTCAAAGTACTGTCCATCTCTTTCTTCTTCTTGAGTGATATCAGACTCTTCATCAGTGCCTACAGATGATCTGCTCTGGTTCTGCTTGGCAGGAGACTTTGAGGGGCTTAAGGCAGATTTGAAGCTAAAGTTAAATCCAGTTGTAGATTCCCCAAATCTGAACAGATTTTTTCTTACAGGACTACTTGCCAGAGGCGATGCATACACAGAGCTACTAACACTATCATCCAATGCTTCTTCACGCAAGTCATAGTTATCCCATTCCAACGTAGGTGCAGTGCTTTCCGCATGTGGCTTTATAACCAAGTCAGAAGTACTGATGGCTAAAGGTGAGCTTCTTTTCTCTTCCTCTGTAAGTTTCGTTTTATCATCTGTCAAAAACGTTTTGAGATCTTTCAATCCAGTTTTCATTTCTTCTGCTTTCTGTATAAGTTGAGCTGTCCTACCTGTGTCAACAAGTTTGTGTGGGGTCTGCAGTGGTATATCCAACAACAGCCTCTGACACTCTTCGAATTTTTGTTTGAATTCCTCAGCCTGCTCTGGTGTCTTAAATTTAGCTGCTAGCTGCTCCAGCCTTGCATCACCATCAGAAAAGTCACTGGCTAGCCACATCCATGCTTTATCTGAGCCAGACAGAGGTTTCAAGTTCATGGTAGTAGTTATCCAATGGTTTGCACATACTTTTAGTACCTGTTCGCGTCGCATTAGAATTCTTAGCTTGCCATTATCTTCATTTTTAAGAATTTTTAAGTTGCCCACGCCTCGTTCTTTCCACTGACTTATTTCTGCATCAAACCTAAAGAGTTTTATCCTTTGTGAATAGAGTACTTTCTCATCCTCTTCCCCTGTTACTAGTTCTACTTTTTCAGGCATTTGGACAACTGGGTCAAAGTGAATATCATCACAATCCTCAGTCTTATATGAATCATCATCCTTCTCTAGATCAGCAGTATTAACTTTGTGATCCATTTTAGAACTCTGTGAGGAAAACAGTTTTTCACCTGCACCTGAAAAGCCCTTGAAGTTTGGATCTTTTTTCCCAAACTGGAATCCTTCTCCAGAAGTAGTTTTTGCAAGATCAGCAAAAGTGAAAGTGCTGCTATTCTGCCCAAAAACTAAATCACCAGTCGGCTTATTAGAGGCTCCTGGAGACCGGATACCAGCCCCACCTTCTGAAAGAGGAGCATCTCTTTTCTCCTTTTTGTCAAGACATTTTAAGAAGCCTGTTGTACTTTCTTTGGGTGGCTCATCTTTCTTTGTAATATTTTTGCCAGGCTCTTGTATGCCAAATTTAAATCCACCTGCAGGCACAGGCATAGAAAAGTTAAATCCTTCATTTGTAGGGTTAGCTTCACTACCAGAAGGAATCTGAAATGTGAAGGAAGGTGCCTTTCCTTCTGCATGACCAAATTTAAAGCCTTTTTCTGAAAAGTCACTCTTAAAACCTGTTCCCAATTGTCCTCCGGCAGATTCAGACAATTTGCTCTTGAAGCCAAATACAGGAGTTGAGGTGGCATCCCCACGTTTACTAGATGGATTTTGTGTTTGACAGGCTATGCAGGTTGCAGAAGAGGCTTCATTTCGTACTAAACAAACAGAACAATCCCACTGTCCTTCCATTTTAGCAAAGAGCCCTCCAAATCCATTCTTAGGGGGTTTACTTTCAGAAGATGTCTGACCAGTAGACGCAGGAACCTTCAGCAGACCTTGAGAATGAGGAGCTTTGCAGGCCACACAATTTACTGTTGTCGCTTCATTTCTTACTAAGCACACCTTGCAATACCACTGACCCTCCTTTCCAGAGCAAGCAGAAGCAAGCTCATTTTGTGAACTCTCTGCAATATCCCCTTGGCCAAATTTAAAGGAGCCTGGCTGATCAGACTTTGGTATGTTAATAGCCTGATTTGGATTGTCCGCTTGACAGGCTACACAGGTTGCAGAAGAGGCTTCATTTCGTACTAAACAAACAGAACAATCCCACTGTCCTTCCATTTCAGCAAAGAGCCCTCCAAATCCATTTTTAGGGGGTTTACTTTCAGAAGATGTCTGAACAGTAGACGCAGGGACCTTCAGCAGACCTTGAGAATGAAGAGCTTTGCAGACCACACAAGTTACTGTTGTTGCTTCATTTCTTACTAAGCACACCTTGCAATACCACTGACCCTCCTTTTCGAAGCAAGCAGAAGCAAGCTCATTTTGTGATCTCTTTGCAACATCTGCTTGCCCAAATTTAAAGGAGTCTGGCTGATCAGACTTTGGTATGTTAGCCTGATTTGGATTGTCCGCTTGACAGGCTACACAGGTTGCAGAAGTGGCTTCATTCCGTACTAAACAAACAGGACAATCCCACTGTCCTTCCATTTTAGCAAAGAGCCCTCCAAATCCATTTTTAGGGGGTTTACTTTCGGAAGATGTTTGAACAGTAGACGCAGGGACCTTCAGATCTTGAGAATGAGGAGCTTTGCAGGCCACACAATTTACTGTTGTTGCTTCATTTCTTACTAAGCACACCATGCAATACCATTGACCCTCCTTTATGGAGCAAGCAGAAGCAGGATCATTTTCTGAACTCTTTTCAACATCCACTTGGCCAAATTTAAAGGAAGCAGGCTGACCAGACATTTGCATGTTAGCCAGATTTGGGTTCTCGCAGGCCACACAAGTTACAGCTGTTGCTTCATTCTTCACTGAGCACACACTGCAATCCCACTGACCTTCCTTTCTAACAATAACTGATCCAAACGCATTCTGTATGGTCTCAGTGTTAGATATAAAACCTGCAGCGGTTTCAGCTACTGGTACAACATATGTTTCCTTATTATTCAGATTTGGACCATTACATGATATACAGTTCTTAGCTGTTACATCATTACAAGTGAAACACAATCTACACTTCCACTGATCTTTTCTTGGCGTAAACTGTTCGCCCAATCCACTAGCAGTATATGTAGATGGCATTTCCTTTCCAAAGGAAAAGGATGGTGTGGATACATCCAACATAGATATAAAACTGCTCTTGCTATCAGGTCCTTTTACGGAACTACCTGTATTTGGAACTGAAGCCTGGCATGCAGTACACAGGGATGAAGCTGTACTATTTTTCCTCTGGCAGAGATTACACTCCCACATTCCCTCTTTCTTAAATTGAAATCCAAAGTTCAGGGGTCCAGGAGTAGATTTGCAAGGCTCCTTGATATCTTGATTGACTGTTTGTCTGGAACTTTCAATGTGCTGAGTGGTTGCTCCAGATGTTCTCAAAATATTTTGTGCCTCTTCAAATTTGCATTTGAAAAGCATTGCCTCCTCTGGCGTTTTGAATCTAATGGCAAGCTGTTCAGGTTTTGGCGATTCGTCTGCATAATCTACAGCATGCCACACAAATGTTTTGTCTGAACCAGCATTTGGTTTCAGTTTCATGTCAGTATTTATATAATGATTTGCACAGATTTTCAACACTTGTTCCCGTCTCATAAGTAGACGAAATTTGCCAGATATTTTATGTCTCAGTATTTTCACGTTTCCAATGCCCCTTTCTTTCCATTCTTTAGATTCTGCAAAACGGAACAGCTTCGCTCTATTGCAAAAGAATTCTTCCTCATCTTCTTCCCCTGTCTTTACTTCTATCTTATCAGGGAGTGGCACAACAGGCTCAAAGTGAGGACCATCATCTTCATCTTCACCTCCATGGATGCTTCCGCCATCAGTTTCATGACTTTTGTTGGCCAGATCTAAACTTGGGGTCCCAAACCCTGGTTTTCCCATTTCATGGAAGCCAACTGTGTCACCTTTCCCAAAGAAAGAATTTTTAGGTTGGTTTTGTCCCATGTTTTCTGTAAATGGGATGCCTGAAATACTTTTATTACCAAAACTGAAGACATTTCTTTGGCTAGGTGTATGATCCGGAACTGTTTTTTGTCCTGTATACCGCTCATCTTGTAAAGGTTTATCTGACGTCAGAAGACCCAACAGGCTTTCACTACTGTTAAAAGTTGCGTTGGAAGACTGTGTTAGAACTTGAGGTGAAGAAAATGTGAAGTCTCCATCATTTGATTTGAAGTTAGAGTTGAACTTAAAAGTTGTTGACTGAGCGGACTGTGCTGGCGCCATCAGAGAGGGTTTTGTTACTTCTGTTGGTACAGGTTGCCCAAAGGTAGATTTCCCAAATTCTACCACTTTTTGTTCTGCAGGCTTTGCAGCTGGAGGAGCAATTGAAGGCTTTGTGAAATAGCCTGGTTCAGGTAATGGTGGATTTGAGCTTGCTTGTGGAACACTGTAATTATAATACTCATCCCCACCACGTGGAGACAGAAGCCCAGTAGCAGGAGAATCAAAACGCAATGGACCGCCATATATTTCTTGGGAAAACATACATGCAGAAGTGTTCTGCAGTGGTGGTGTGTGCATTGGCTGCTGATAGGCATATATATGTTGCTGAGGTGTAAGCCTGTTCATACCATAGACAGGAGCCTTAAAAAGAAAGAGAGAAAAAATCATTATTTTTGCTTGGTATTAAAGTAGCTTCAAGAGGCCAAGCCCCCCTTGCACAAGCACAAAACAAATCACAAGCACTACACAAGTAACACAGTCTCTGCCATGAAGAGATTATGTTGATTTTTAGTTTCCATTCTTCAATACACACAGACTTCAATGTTGAACAACATCAAGAAAATCTAGACAGCTGTTCTGTGTAACATATTGCATGCTGCTCCTCTTTCTCCACTGAACCCTCAAAGTTTTCTCCATCACAGAGAAGAAACTATTTTCAGAAAATTTCCCCAACAGAAGGCTTTAAGTAGGCATGTGAACTTTTCAAGAGACACGTACAAGCTCTTGTTCTTTAGGCCGCATGTGCATGGCAGGACCCTGATCCTAAAAATCATGCAATTAGATCCCAACTACACCTTACTTTGCTTCGCACCAGCAAGTTGAAAATCAAGTGCTCGCAATTAGCCGATTGTCAGCTGGGGCCAGGGACCAAATTAGGGTCTGGAATTGGTCCTGTTGCACTGGAACCCGTAAAAATTACATGTATAGCTGTTTTCCAATATCCCTGGTACATGGGGACCTCAGGATCAGGGAGAGGTTCCTTGATTCTGGGGTCTTCAGGCACCAGGATGTCAGAAAAATCTCATGGGGCAGCAAGGCTGAACATGCAGTTTTTAAAGGTCCAGGGTGCAGTAACTCCCAAAATCAGGGAGACAGTCTCTGATGTTGGGCTCACCATGCTCTCTATCTGCCTCTGGAGTGTTGGGGTTCCAGGAACTGGTTCTGCCCTGAGCCCACCTGGGTAGGAGACAGCTGTGTGCTGGATTCTGATGTTCAGCTTAGAGTGGAGATCTGTCATGAGCCAGCCCCAAATCAGCCACATACTCAGTTTAAGGTGTGACACATCATATGTTGTTAAACATTGTATGTGGCATAACTGTATCACTCATTTACTTTATTATCATACCCTAAACTGCCTTGACCATGTGGCTGGATTCCTACTTAAAAGTGCAACTAAGTAGGTTAATTGAAATGTTTAAGTGGTCTTAGACAACTCCCTTCCTCTACCATGAGAGTTCAACTAAGAGGACTCACTCAAGGGAGTCCAAATATTCCAAATCTAGAAAATAAACAGAGAAGTGTAAGTATCAGTTACACCTAACAGTCTTCATCTGTAAAATCCATGTTACATATAGCAGGTGAGAAGCATGAGACTATAGTTCACTAAAGAGTTCAGGAGTAAATTAAGAGATTCATCATCACCTTTGTTGGTGTTACATTGGTGGCAGCTGTTCTGAGAAGGTACTGAGAGTTATATGCAGGTGACTGGCTGTAATAGACAGATGGGCCAGTAGTGGCAACTAAAAGAGAACATAAAATGGTTTAATCCTAGTTTGCTTCTGTCCAAAACATACCATCTTTGAAAAAGAAGACATTTTTAGAATTCATTCACCCTATTTAATTCTTTTATAACAATTTTAGAAGCTTACCTGTTAATGGTGCTCCGTGAAAGTTTTGTGCTCCTTGATAGCCATCTGACATTGTATCTGCTCCATAGCTTTCAGAAGGCCACCGATGAGATGACAAGTTTGAGCTGGAATTTAGTTTCATTTCATGCATCTCATTCTATCAGGAAAGAAGTATTTATGCAGTTTTAATTAAAACAAGGTTAAAAGGTTTAATTAAAACAAGGTTGGTTCTCCCCTCCAAGGCAATGTTTACCTGAACAAAGCCCGGTGTGTGCAAGTGCACATATGTACGCACGCACACACTCAGGCACACAGTTTTACCTTTATTTAACATGCCATCCAGCCTCAGTTTTGAGGCTGGAAAAGCTTCTGGTTTATTATTATACATAACAGGTTATACAGAAAGGTCTCATGAGGTGTAAGCAGTCTGCTACCAAGCCAATAGTCAAAACCATGAGTGTAAGTCATACAATTGGTCAAATACCAGCAAGAAAATAGGAGGATATCCCAAAGCACTGTAGTTAAAAAGACACAAAATCCAAACCCAAACCCCTGTCCTGAAGAGAACAAATTAGAAGTGTACTGAGTTTATTAGAGAGAGAGACTGTATAGAAAGGAACCAAAGGATAAACCACCAGCAGCATTTGCCCTTCATTTTTTTAAGCATGGATCAGCACGTCACTACAGACTGGAGTTACATATCTGGAGCGTCAGGGAACATGCGTTTTGTTGAAAACCTGAAGAGAAAAAGCTATTTCTCCCCAATGCACTCAGTTTCCTTTCCAGTAGATGGGAATTCTGGTGACAGAAAGCAGGCACTACAAAGAGGCAGCTGGAGTGTGCGCACACCTGCATGAGCCCACACCATGAGCAGTCATCAGGACACAACATGCACCTTGTGTAGGCACAGCTGTTAGAAGGTGCCATGGAAGCTGGCAGAAGGTACAGACTTGCCTACATTTACCTTTTGATCGCTGCTGAATGGCAGCAGAAGTTCTCTTTCACCAGAGGAGACCTGCAAGTCTGAATGCCTTCAGTTTTGCTGGCAGAATGACATGGCATAGATCAGGTCTGATCCTGAAACAAGGACAGGCAATACTAGCGTACTGCTCTGTTCCTTGGAGAGCAAAGGTTTGGGTCTCTCCTAATGGGTAGATGAAGACAAGCGGCAAGTCATACTCATCAGGATGTTCAGAGAAACCTTGCCTCAGCAGGTGCCAGAGCTGCCTTTAGTGCACCTGACCTTGGATGGTACATACTGGCTGAAACAAGTGTCAGAATTTCCTCATTTTTATTGGCACAGCCAACACAGCTGCAGTCAGGCACATGGCTCTCAGTGTAGTTGTAGACTTTCAGCTCCTCTTTTGCAAATTCTATTAACCTTGTTCCCAGTAAGGTCAGAGACTGAGAACTCCGAATCTACAATTTTGGTAGAATCAGAGGTGCTATTCTTCAAGGGACAAAGTAAGAAGACACAGTTTGTTTCAGTATAACTAGTACTAAATTAACCTTCCAGAAACGAACTAACGTTGTTATGCTATCACTGGATTCTAATAAAAAGAGTAACACAAAAAAGTTAGGGACATGAAGACATAGGCTATATGAGTTCTGCTCCAAAGCAGTAAGCTTTAAAAAAAATTGATACTGTGGTGCTCTGGCAAAAAAACCCAAACAAACCCCAAAACCAACAACCCAGAATGAAAAAAGTTTAATCAATGTATAACTAAAACACTTCACTCCTGGATTGAGAACTACCTTCCTTATGCCTGCCAGTACCCATACCCCACCCAAATACAAACAGAAAAACAACTGCTTGGCTAACAAGTATGATCTCACAAGGCTTCATATGAAATAGAGAAAAACAACTAAGGATAATTTTCTGTCAGGTCAGTAACATTGGTTACTAGCGTTTGAGACATGGAAGAAAGCCATCATAATGAGAATTAGGCACCACTGAGTAGGCCTGGAAAAAGAGGCCTACAAAAGAAAAGCATTCTAACTGCACTGTTGAATGGAAGACACAAGACAAGACAAGTGAACGAAATGCCTAACACTGACTAGGTTAAAGAAGTCAAGACCATTTTTATCCATGTTTCTACTAGATAGGACATTCAATAGGTATACATGTATTTTGTACTTATCTAGTGTTTTTGTTCTGTCCCTTTAACCATTTAACTTAAGATGTTTCTCTCTCTTCCCCCTTTCTGAGCATCAGAGAAAGTCTTCTTACAGAAAAGCCTAAAAAGCTTTTTCCTTAGTAAGTATTGGTCATGTTGTCCATAGTTTTCTAACAGATGTCTATATCAACTTAAGCACTAGTCTTATAGGTTCTTAAGAAAGATTTTTAGTTAAATGACACTTTCCCCACCATAGTGGTTTTGAGATTTAGACAAATTACATAAAACTAAAACAGAGGTCCCACCACACTGGTGAAGTTTTAAGCCAAAACTTCACCATCCAATGTTGATTTTTACAAATATACACATTGCTAGAAAAACTCTTCTTCACTAAACAGACTTAGATATGTTCCAAATGGTCATATATACCTTAAGGGCTTCTACTTGCTGACAGATCATCTGAAGTAAGGATTTCTGATCTTCTGCCCAGCGAGGGGGAGTCTTTGGAGAGAACTAGAAGAGGAAATATTGAATCATCACTTTCTTTTCTTTAGACATGCATACTCTTTAGGAAAAAACTTTTACTCTTCGATATACCTTGTAGCTTTTACTTGGTGATAAAGTAAATTTTGTTGGTGAGGGAGTAGAGTGTTTTACTTCTGCAGCTGCAGCTTGAGATAGATCATTCTTGAAGACTGGGCTTCCTTCTTCACCATAATCCCCAAGTTCATGAATTACTGTATCCAGCGTCTCCTTCACAGTTTCTATTGACACTGGTAACTAGGAAAGAATTTCAGGAATAAGTTATGCCTTTACGTTTTCTTTATTAATTCAGGATATGTTTCCTTGAATCTATTGTACTAGTGGTATATAATGTACTAGCCAGCAAGCGGTGTTTTATGGTAAGATGCTTCCCCTCAAACACTACTGCATTCCTGTCTGAAAAAAATTAAAGTTTGGATCAATGTTTCTAATAAAGCAAACTTGGACACTACTTTGTTAAGGCCTCATAATCCTTCACAGAATTTTCCAGAATACTTTTGTTATTCACTACCATTATTTACATGAAACAAGTTCATTTTTCTTGCACAATCTCATATCAAGGGTTCAAGTGCAGGTTTCCCTCAATTTATGCGATACACGCATTCCTGGAAAACTGCAAATAAATCAAATTTGCATAAAGGGAACCCACTTTACAGTGTAAGAAATAGGGTTACGTTCCCACAGCAGTGAGGGGAGGCAGGGAGCAAGGCTGGGACTAGGAAAGGGGCAGGGGGAGGGGGTGGGCTGCTCCTGGGACTGCAGCAGGGAGCAAAAAGGAGGAAACTGAATGGGTGCAGGACAGGGGAACACAGCTCTTGTTGCTATATGCACCCCGGGATGGCTGTGGGCTGGGCTAGGCTGGGCTCTTCTCAGGAGGCAGGTGCCCCTGGATCTAAGTGTGGGAGGAGAGCAAGCTGCCGCTGCAGGTAGCACCAGGCTCTTCCCAGCACTCAGGGTGGGCCACTGCAATGGGGGAAGGGCTGCTGTCACCCCAAAATTTGCCACAGCCCCCGACCCTGCTCTCCCAGCACTGTCATTGAGCACCAGAAAGAGCCTAGTGCTGCTGCTGGTCCCAAACTGCAATGGCAGCCTGCTCTCCTCCTGCGCACAGATCCAGGGGCATGTGCCCCCCGGAAAGAGCCTGGCGCAACCCTCCAGGGTGCGTATAGGAGCAAGAGCCATGCCCCACCACTGTCCCACACCCACTCACAGTTCCCTCTGCTTTGCTCCCTGCTGCAACCCTGGAAGCGGCCAATAGGCTGCGCTGTGCCCCACCCCCCACACCTTTCCCTATAGACTTACCTGGTTGCATCCCAGGCCTCCACTTCTCCCCATCACTCCAACCCCTGCTGCAGCCGCCCTGGAAGCAGCTGACACCACCTGCCTGCACCATGACACAGCACAACCCAGGGGCTGGGGTGAGTGGGGACAAGCAGAGCCCTGGAGCCGATCGCATATGATTGAATTTACCTTGAGTATAACAAATCTGGGGTATAAAAAGCGTCATTACATAAGACCAAGTTTGCACATATGGAACCCACATAAATTGAGGGAAACCTGTATACAAATCACTATCCTTAGGGTAAAATGCTTGAACTTCGGGAGAACAAAGTGGCCCTAACAAGTCATTAACCCATTTAACAATACACAATATTAAAACGTCTTTTCCTGATTAAATCAGCCACATTTACAATTATTTACAAACAGATATTCAGGTTAAGCTATACAGAAAATTAATAATCAAATCTGTGCTCCAACCCTGACAACCTCACACCCTCCAAAGTTCTCTCATTTCAGTTCAATTTCAGAATTTTGACTACAGTACTTCACATTTACAAAAAAAGCATGAAGGCGTACAGCAGTATTTCAGAAGAGAACATTATGCTGAACGTCCCCTACACTTTCAAGACAAGCTAGGGGGAATTCTTTTCAACTGGTTAGTCTTCAACATAAAGATGTGACACACTAAACACTTTTACTCATAAAAAAAAGTGTTTGAGATCAAGATTCTGATCACATTAACAAGCAGATCTTGAATAAGCCCAACATGCATACCTTCTCAATTACTGAAATGTCTGTAAAACTTTCATCAATGATCTTCATTAGATAGTCTCTACTCTTTCGCAAGTGATTTTTGCATTCTTCTTGTTCTTCTGGTGAGAGTGCATCACTCTCAATCTCCTCAGCCTTTCTTTGGAATATCTAGCCAACAGAGTAAGACTTAGCATATAGTTTTAAACACCCCAAAAGTTTAAAAAGAAAAAAAAAAAAGATTTATACACTTACTAGTGCAAGATTCCAGTATGAAACAACATTCTTAATATTTTCAAATGCTAGCAAGGCATCTTCAGTTCTTCCATCAACTGCAGCGAGCATAGCAGATGCTATACGTTCCTCCTGTTCATATTCTGCAACTTGAGAAGGCTATAAAAAAGCGTCAAGAATTTAAAGTAAAGCATGTGTTTTATACCAAAAAAGTATACATTTAACAGTCTTGTAATTGCTAAAACAATGACTAATATGCATTATACCAAAATTACTATGTACTAGACAGATGCTAAATATTAGGACATATAAGAACAGTTCGATATTCACAATATTATTCCTAAAAAGAAAATAAAGAACAAAATGATTCGGGCTCAACTGCTACAGTGGGTCAATTCAACGAGGTGCGATATAATCAGTCAGCAGGTAGGTATGAGCTTGTGGATATCCTCGAGATCAACCCTCATTAACAGTGTGCAAGTAAGTCACAAGTACTTGTAAGATCTAGCTAAACATTTTACAAGCAGGTTTCCAATTTGAGGGCTGAGTTATTACATTTTCTCAAGAAGCTGATGTAAGTAGTGTTTTTAACCTCCATACTATTTAAAAAAAAAAAAAATAATAATTCCAAACACCAAAAAGTTAGCAGATTTTTTATTCTGGTTATTCTGTGCCTCCCTTGACCCATCTTTAGACTAGGGATAACACCACTCTAATGAGGAAAAATTCATTAATGACTGGAGCACTGCATTATTAGAGAGACTGGCATCCAAGAAGAACCTATGAAGATATTGTGTAGTCAGAACTGGTTCGAGTGGTATTCAGTGAACAAAGCATAGGGCTGCATATGAAGCTTAAAGTTATAAAAACACGGCATAAAACAAACCAACAAAAAACCCTTTTGTTCAGTGAGCTCTATCCATTGGAGGGAGAAGTCCTATGACCACACACATCAACATACAACTTAAGATTTCATACTTCAAATCCTGTGTGTATGCATTACTCTGGCACACTTGGGTGCACTACCCTGGAACATAGTTCCCTTAACATAGCATGTACATGCACTTTTTCTTTTTATAACCACAAAAAATGAACTAGGACTATGGAAGGACACATTATAGCAGGACCTGGACAGGTTACAGGGGTGGGCTAACAGAAATAGGATGGGTTTCAACACTGGCAAGTACAGGGTGCTGCACTTGGGCAGTGGGAACCAGCAGCACACTTATAAGCTAGGAAACTCCCTTCTTGAGAGCATGGTGACAGAAAGAGATCTTGGAGTCATTACTGACTCCAAGACGAACATGGGCGGACAATGCAAGGTCATGGTCAGTAGGGCTAACTGTACCTTGTCATGCATCCACACATGCATCTCAAACAGGGCCAAGGAGGTGATCCTCCCCCTCTATGCGACACTGGTCAGGCCACAGCTGGAGTACTGTGTTCAGTTCTGGGTGTTGCACTTCAGGAGGGATGTGGACAGCATTGAGAGGGTCCAGAGGAGGGCCACCCGCATGATCTGGGGACAGCAGGGCAGACCCTATGAAGAGAGGCTACGGGACCTTAACCTGTTCAGCCTTCACAAGAGAAGGCTGAGGGGGGACCTGGTGGCCGTCTATAAACTCACCAGGGGGGACCAGCAGGGTTTGGGAGAGACCCTGTTTCCCCTAGCGCCCCCCGGGGTAACAAGGAATAATGGCCACAAGTTGTCAGTAGGTTTAGTTTAGACATCCGAAGGCACTACTTCACAGTCAGGGCAGCTAGGATCTGGAACTAACTTCGAAGGCAAGTGGTGATGGCTCCTACCCTGGAGGTCTTTAAGAGAAGGCCTGATGTCTACCTGACTGGGGTCATCTGAGCCCGGTTTTCTCTCCTGCCCAGGGCAGGGGGTCAGACTTGATGATCTACAAGGTCCCTTCCGACCCTACTTCTATGAATAAGCTGTGCGGTCACTGTATTCTAGAAATCTGTTAAACATATCCAGTTCTGCATTAGAGTTTAAACAATTAGATCATTGTGTGTTCTCTCTAAGCAGAGACCTATATCTTTTGTTGTGTCCTCAGCTTCAGTTTTTGCTGGTGAAACTTGTAAGTTGTCCAGTTTTATGAAGCGAGACTCTCAGCCACAACAACCCGGGTGCCTTAAGATGCTTTCAGGGGTGCTACAAGTCCACACAAGGTGGGGAGGGGGGGTTAAGGGGAAGGTCTTCCTCCAGCATTTGCCAAAAAACAGCCTTACTTGGTTTCCCTCTCTTGAAAGAAGCCCCTGCAGCCAGCCTTAGCCTGGTTTCACAAGGGGCAGGCCTCTGACTTTGAGACCCTGGCTCTTCTCAGTCCCTGGCTTCCCTGGTGACCCGCAACACCCCATCTCTGGGAGCTCCTTCTTTTCAGTCAGCTCCTCAGAAGGAGGAAGGGTGCTTTCTTCTTTAAAAGAGGGTTATCAAAGTGCCAATATCCCAAGCAGCAGAGCAGACACTGCTTCAAAATGGTCTTTACTGTGCTATTCCAATGCCATTTGCCCTGGCACCATTCCTTCCTTGTGTAGGTCCCTCAGAGCTTCACTCATTCTCCTCTAGTCTGGTCAGCCACACTCACAACAAAACAGTTACACAACTATAGTCTTAACCTGAGGACAAACACTCACCCAATACAATGAAACATTACGTCAGGGGAACCAAAGAGCAGTCTCTGTGGCTGGCTGTCAGGCCTAAACTGCCATCTGCCCTTGGGGCGAAGAAGAGGACATCTAGATGTCCTACTTAGGGAACTATAAGCATTATTCAAATTAAAGCCTGCCCACAGAGCCTCCCCAAAGTGCTCCCTACAGGGGGGGGGGGGGGGGGGCGGCGGCCCACAGACATGGACAGACGGATGAGAGCATGCTGCCCAGGAGGTGAATGCCAGACTGTGTGCACCCCCTCGACATATTGCACAGCCCTGGCCTAAAGCATAAAAAAAACCCCTGTAAGCTCAAGCAATTAAACAAGTTAGGAAAGTGGTTTAAGAGGGAAAAGCAACAGCTTGAAGCTACAAGGAGATTTTTAAACTATGTAGAAGGAAGAATTCCTGACAAAATGAAACCTTCTGATAAATTGGAGGGCAGTAATTGAGGTGCAGGGCTGCAAACGGGAAATAAATCCAAATCTGAAATTAAACCTCCGTCTGCATGAGGAACTAGAAGTGGCCCCCGGTTACTTAGCATCCTTCATTTTTATAGTCCTAGTTATTTTTGTACCTGGATGTCTACACTATGGAAGTGTTTAAACAGAGGATCAGCAGGTTCAGGAATGCTTTTCTTCTTTTTGATAGTCTCCAGCATAGGTAAAACTTTTTTCCAATAATAAACACTTCGGCCAATGTATTCCCTTTGGTCATAGAAAGAGTTTAGACTACTGCCCTGTGAAAGGAAGCAGAATTTTAAAAAGTTTACTTAAAATTTAACATTGTTAAGATATGAAACAGCTCTAAAAAAGCTCTTTTATTCCAGCTCATTTACTGCTGCTAAGGTTAGCTCAGGCAGTCTGAGCAAGCCTATATAAGAAAAAAAATGCAACTAAAATAATTTTTAAAAAGTACTGAATATAGGTTGGCAAAAGAAATGGAAAAAGATGTTTCATCTTTGAATACATGATCAAGTGGACATCTACTACATCCCCCGTTTATTTTTGCCGAGAACTAGATTAACACAATTTAGAATAGCAATGAGAGAAGCTAAAAGCACAGATATATTCAGAAATAGCAGCATCTTTAAGTGGTGTCAACTTACTGTCTTTTGCAGACTCCTTGCCCAATGTATGATTAAGGCAGGCTGAAGGCCTGGTTTCTCCAGTGCCCTCAGAGTGTTTATTTCATGTTGGACTAGGATCCTCAATTTTGCTGCTGTGCCAGGTCTGAAAAGTAGATTACATGTTACTTGATTAGTCACAAATGTTTATGGAGATTGTCCTTTATCTTCACACTACAATAATGAATAAACAAGTTTTACTTCTTGTAATATGCACCAAGCCAGATGTAAAACAAGTATACAAATCCCTGTTTATAGTTTCTCCTGGCTGTCCCAGAAATCTTTTTATATCAATCAAATATGGAAATTCATGAAGTGAGCAAGACAAAGCAATGAAACAAAGCTCAAGAACCTAAAACTGCCTGATTCAAGTTACCATGTCAGAAGCAATTTAAAATTAATTAGTAAAAAACAAAAATAAATACTTACAATGCTTTTTTGTGAAGAAGAGTATAAACAGCCTCCCACCAGGATCTCTGTCTTTCAGTACAAAGCTGTTTGCTCACTGGTAGAGGCAAAAATTGCGGCTGATGTGAACTGTACTGAGTATTAAACTTTTCTTGCAACTGTAAGTGGCTAGTAAATATCACCCCAAGTAGAAACACCTGTTTTTGCAAGACAAGTACATGTTAAACTATAAGCTTACACTGTATTATAAGTGTTAGCAAAAAAAATAGCTTCCTTACCTCAAGGTCCAATAAGCAAATTGATTCTGGAGCGTTGGTCTCAAGTCTTGATGTCTCCTGGGGCAAGTGGAAGAGCTGTTTTAACCACCGGCGTATTGCAGGTAAAATGGACATGAAATTCCACTGTAAACCAAGCCATATAAGGTGCTGGAGACTACCGTTGTGCATTCGAACAGCACCTAAGAGCAATAAAGAACTGGTGAATATTTATAAATCAGCAGAATCACCAGATAATCAAAACTAGGCATAATTCCAATTTGGAAGCCATAACAATTTAAATAAATGCTTATCCACTGAAACCAGCTTTTTGGTGTTGTTTTTGAATTTGCTTCTCTTCTTGACTTGTGGTGATCTCGAGTTAGAGGAATCAGGAAACTTGGGTCAACAAGTTGTATTTCCACAGAAGCAAATTAAAAGATTGTTCTCAATGGGATTACACATTAGGAGAAATGGGAGAGTATAAAACACTCCATAAAGTGTCTCACCAATTGAAATTTTACAGATTCTATGATTTTGCCATCTCACAGTTACCGATTTTGAGATTACCAACTCAGCAAAAGTGTTTCGGGTAACAAATCAGGTATCATGAATGGAGCATATATGTTGCAGCCCTGGGTAGTTACGCGACAACCTATGAACCCTCAATTTCATTTGCTTACACCTTGCTTAAAATGAGTATGAAAATTAATTGTTTTAGTTTTCATATTAGAAACGTTGTTGCTAGTATTAGGTAAACACCTCTCAAATCTTCAAGAACAAGGTAACGGAAAGATGGTCCTAAATAACATAAAGAGAAGAAAAGCAAAAAATAAAATTATTTGGGTGCTGCTACAGTAGTTTAGTTTTTCAGATGCAAGAGACCATTTAAACCCAAGCACCTGAGGAATTTGTCCATCACTTAACTACTTCTGAAGTTGGAGAGACCTCCAAAAAAGCACATACCAGCAATGCTCCCCTTGCCACTTCTGTGAAGCAGCGCTGGAACCCGGCATGGTAAAGCACAGCTGGGGGGGGGTGCACGCGCAGGAAGGTGCCTGCTCCCAGCTGCCCTGCCACACTTCCCTTGTGCACAGGAGCAGCGTGGGGTTGTGCCCTTTGCTGCTGCCCCTGCCTGCAGGGGAAGTGTGGCAGGGCAGCAGGGAGTTTGGAGCAGGCAACTTTCTGCACCCCTGCTGTGTCCTGTCACGCCAGGTTCCAATGCTGCTTTGCGGAAGTGGCAAGGGCAGCACAGCGGGGAGCACTGCCGGTATGTGCTGCCTCCCCGGAACCCAGGTAGAGAGGCAGCAGATGTTTGCAGCTGGCCCAGGTTCTGGGTAGCTGCTGACAGCCATGGAGCTAGGGCTGCTTGCAGCAGGGCTTCCACAGGAGCAGCCCAGGCTCCATGGCTGTCAGCAGCTACCCAGAGCTGGGGCTGGCTGCAGCCAGGAGGCTACAAACAGCTGCTGCCCTCTGGCCCTGGCCACAGCTGTCCGCCGGCTCCGGGAAGGCAGCAGGTGCTGGTACTGCGTCCATTAGGGCCAGGACCGGGGAGGCATCAGCTGTTTGTAGCCTCCCAACTGCAGCTGGCCCTGGCTCTGGGTAGCTGCTGATAGCCACAAAGCCTTTGCGGCTCCCAGCAGGGCTTCTAGTGTCTCAGCTGCCTGCTGGGAGCAGCCCGGGCTCCAGGCTGGCAACAGCTACCCCGGGGTGGGCAATTATTTCAGGCAGAGGGCCACTTACCCAGTTTTGGCAAGCTGTTAAGGGCCACATGAGTAGCCCTACCCCCTGGTCACCATCTTGTGACCAGTGTCCTAATGTCTCAGGACCAATGTCTCAGGGCCAGCGCCAGTGGGGCCCAGAGCAGGGTGCAGTCTGGCAGGGGTCTGTGGAGCTGGGTTAGGCTGCACCAGCAAGGACAGGGGGGAGCTGACCTGGCTCCATAGAGCCCCTGCTGTCCAGGGCCCCTGTACTCCTGCTGCCCTGCTCTGAGCCCTGCCAGCACTGGCACTGGGACACTGGTGTGGGCCCCATGGACCTGCTCACTCCCAGTGCCCCCCAGCCTCGCGGTACAGGCGAGGGCAGCATGTCGCCTCAACCCCCTGCTCCGTGGCAGGGAACGAGCTGGTGCTGAGGGCGGGGAAAAGTGGTCCTTGCCCTGTGGCTGGCACTCCTTGCTGCAGTTGCTCACTGCCCGCGGGGGGGCTGTCCTGAGCAGGCACAGGCAGCCCTATGCGGGCTGCGAGTGGCAGCAGTGCAGGGCACTTGCCGCTCTGGGCAGTGTTTGCCATCGCCGCCTCTTGGCTGCCCAACGTGTGAGCTCCGGGTGGGCAGCAGCAGCAAACAACACTGCCCGGCACAGCAAGCAGAGGGCCGCAGCTGCTGCCGCCGCACGCAGGCCCGACAAGCGAGTCCAGAGCCAGCATAGGGCCCAGGCTGGCTGTGAGGGCAGGTTACAAGCTGGTGCTGAGCACGGGAAAAGCAGCCCCATCCCTGGCCCCTGCCCGGCGCCCCATGCTGCTGCCACTTGCAGCCTGCGTCAGGGAGCGCCAGCCACAGGGTTGGGGAAGGGCTGCTTTTCCCCAGGCTCCTTCCCTCCCTTTCACTTAAGTTCCAGCATGGTGCAGTCACATGGTCCCAGTGGGGGGGCGGGGCCGGGTGGGCCCTGCTGTTTCAGGAGCCCACCAGGATTCCCCTGGTTCCTACTGCCCCTGGTTCGTGTCATTTTTGTCAGGAACCAAAGACAAATAAATATTAATTTTCTAAATTTTTTTAGGGACCCCGTGAGCCAGATAGACCTCGCAGACCAGATGCAGCCCGCGGGCCATATTTTGCCCAGCCCTGAGTTACCCAGAGCTGGGGCCAGCTGCAAACAGCTGCTGCCTCCCCAGCCCCAACGCATGCTGAGGAAAATGGTCTTGTGCGTCATGCCTGGCATGCGTGCTGGGGGTGGCCGACCCCTGGTTTATACTGTCACAATACAGTAGCTTAATGCAGAAATACTCACCATTTCATGTTTACCACCTAAAGAATAGCCCAGGAAGTAAGGGCATTACAACTTCTTTGAAATATCCATTTGATAGATCTGGATGCGGGCTGTCCAGAGAGATCAGTTCTTCCAATGCAATACTACATTTATCACCTGAAATGTCAAGCTAACAGTCTCTAACTTAAATAAGCAGGTTGCTAATAGATTACAGCCTTTGCACATACAATCTCCATCTAGTCTAACAGAAAAGGTTTCATCTTCTGGAGATGTTAGACTCACCTATTTTCCATTAGGTGCTGAGAAAAGTAGATGAACAATAGATAGCTGGATGTTGAGTTCTCAGGCTTATTCAATTCATTTATAACCAAAAGGTAAATTATAGTCTAAAATTACTTTAGGAGCAAATTTGTTCTCAATCGCAGTCTGCAATGTTCAAGTACCTATAGTTAACACAACTGCATGAACATGACATTAAGATACATAAAATACACTTAAAGTGACACGTCTTACCAATATCATGTCTAGCAAGTTCCATGCGTTCCGGTGGATGTACACTGATGTTTCCAATATCATCTGTGCCAAGGAAAGATCGCTCTCTAGAAATGCCTCTCTCAAAGAGTGCATCAAATAAAGTAGATTGCCCGCTTTTGTTTGCAAAAGACTCCACAATCTCTTTCAAGAAGTCTTGCTTGCCATAACTTAGGTTTAGCAACATGTGACCTAGAAAGCAAGATACTTTGTTAATTCAAAAACAATGAATTTTTTTTTTTTTAATTTAAAATGAATTTTATTCAGTAGCAAGCATTTCTTAGAGCAGTAACCCAGTATGTCAAAAAAAGAGGACCATAGACAAATTCCTACTGCCTGTAAATTCCCTTTGACTTCTATTGTGCCAGAATTTAACCTCAAACGCCCAGGTCGAATTTAGATATCCAGTCCTCTGGACATGAATATGGAACCTTTGGTAAAGATGGTTTAACAAATATGGAAAAAAAATCCCCACAGTACAGCCAGCATTCTTTATTTCCACAAATAGCTACGATAGGAGTGGAATGGCCTCTTGCAAGAGAAGGAAATCCTGAAGAGCATCTCATTCAGAGAGCCAACAACCCAAAAGCAAAAAAGGTGAAAGGTACAAGGCTATAAACTAATAGCACCCAACACTATAGACACTAGGAAGGGAAGAGTTGAAGAAGATTCAAAAAGGTACAAAACTTTTAAAGTTGGTATCACTCAGGAACATGAAGCAAGGGTAGTGGGAAAGTGTTCTAATTTTTCCATATTAACTCATTTTTTCACATGGCAGAGAAAAAAAAGGGGGAAATAAATTGCTGTTGTATGATCAAAGATACTTTTAAATTCAATCATGTGATATCAAAATGTAACTACATATATGCTCAAAGTCGAGAGTAACTTCTTCTCTCACATGTTTTGGAACAGTTTAATATTTCTTACAAACTAAGTAACAACTTTAAGAAGTTTCATTTAATATTTTTGTTACCAGACTGGCTTAGTCGATCACAAGCTAGCATTTCTAGTATGTCTTGTCCGGCTTGGTCTCCTTTTATAAGTTTTGCCTTTGGTTTAGGAACCTAGTAGAAATTTAAAGGGAAAAAAATCAGAAAGTTACTATTTCAAGACATTAGACCTCAACAATAAGAAAATTTTTCCTAAAATTACCATTCCAGACAGATGACTATCAAATATTTTCTTTAAAATCTCCGATTTAAGGAGATACAACAACATCCCCACTTGCTCACCTGAAAAAAGTATACTACTGCAAGGACACTACATCAACGTAGGCGTAACAAAAATAAATTAAAAACTACTTACTTGAAAAGCAATCAGGTAACACAAAGCTGCCAGTTCAGAAACAGCTCTCCACTGGGCCTCGCTGTGTTCAGCCATTTTCAGTAGCAGAGTTCCAGCATGCAGGTAGAAGTGACCTCTCATTTCCATGAAAGTCACAGACAGTTCATCAGTCCCATTCACATACGGTTTCACAGAGTGAAGTGCGCTATCAAAACTACAGGACAAACAAAATTTGTTTAAACTAGTGCCAGCTACATACTAGTTTTAGAGTTATGTAATTCTGCTTGCAAAGTGTAAACGGTATGTTGGACTGAGAGAGAGCTATATAGAACAGAATCTCGAGTTGAAGGCTCTTGTTAGTTTCTGGTACATTTTACTCTTATACAGAAATATTTCTATATAAGAGCCTACCCTCTGACTTTTTTGTTGTTGTTGCTAAAAGCTCTTCCAGATAGTAAGTATGCCAGTGGAAAAATATTCACACCCCAAGAAGGGTCAAGAAGCACACAACAATGCAAGTCTGGTTCTCAACAATATCGAAACATAGAACCAAGGTAGCACAACACAGAAATCTAGGTTTTAGTAACCAGCAGAGGTTGTTTTTTTTTTTTTAAATCAGTTGTTTTCCTAAACCACCTGCATAGTGAAACAAGCCTACTTGATAATTTCTTAGTGCACAACAACATCTCTTGGCATTGAGAAGAAATGTTTCAGCATGGGAAGTTACAATGAGAATACCTTTCAAGTACTTCTCTACTTTCTTGAACGTCTCTAGTAGAAAGTATCATTACTACAAGGTTGGAATAGGCCAGCAGCAGATCCTTGTTGGTGGTTCTCCAGTTACTTTTATCAGATTCTGAGTCCTGTACAGATTCCAGATATTCCTAGAGAAAATTTACCACAAAATAAGGTACAGTCATTATCTTGGTGGGCACTAGAACACTTCCACTTCCAAATCTCACTAGCTACCACTGACTGCATACTCCATTTTACTAACTGCAATATCAACATACATTTCATCCTAGTGTCCAGAGAGAAAACATAGCTCTATAGGAGAGGGAAGTTCTGAGCTTTCTGTGCAAGACAAAACCAAGAGGCTTACTTAAAACACAATCAACTTAAAAATGTTGAAACGCTAAGTCAGAGCAAGTATGAAAAATTAAAGGTGTTCTGTTAGATTCCCCTCCTTCTTGGAAAATTCAAGAATTACACTAATGCAACTTAGTGTAGAAGACTAAAAACTGTTTCCCTTGTGCCCCCCACACCCCACAAGAGCCTATATTACAATTAAGCACACCTTAAGTGTCTGTACAACGCAGGAACACCATTCCAAGCTTGACCGAGAAGTTATCTTCTTTTCTGCTTCACAGCAGTGAGCCACAGCATCTCCAAGTCTCTGATTTGACCGGTAGAGTTCAACTAGCCTGATGTTTACATAGACATCATCTGGTCTTGCATAGAGTTCTGACTGAATCAGATCAAAAAGCTGATTCCATCCATCCTCGCCTTTACAATCCAGTAACTGCTCCTATTAAAAAACAAAACCAACATGTTTATGATTTTGTGTGCCACTTAACCAAGCAACTAACTTTGCTATTACTGCTCATACAAGTTGGACTGGTTTGAAGAGGGCTTTCAGATTTATTTAAAATATTAAATTAACATTAAGACGACTTAACAGAAGTAACTGATATTTTGCATCTTTAAACATGTGTTGGGATGGGTTTAAGAGCACATCAGAATTCTGTTGTATCAGTAATTAACTTTGTTTTACTGACAGAAAAGTCCATTAGAGGTCTCTTACTGCAGCTTATCTGGCCACATATTCATTTTTGGGAGGAGGTATTCTGCTCCCAATGCAGAAGAAAGTTATACACCTATACACAGATCAAGTCATACTCTGTTTCTGGAGATACCCTTCCGAAGCATACCAATTACATTTTGAAAAGCAACAGAAATCTCACATCTTATGTTCATGAGCATCCAAATCCAAGACAAAACGTGTTTAAAGGACCAAAACATTTATTCAAGTGTTTATTCAAGGTAATAAAAATTAAACCAGTAGTCCACTTCCTGAAAGAGCTACTATACACATGCATGCTAAGCCCTCAGAGCCACACAAAAGAAAATGTTGATGTACAATGAATTCATGATATGCAGTTCATACTTAACACAATTACCTTATTTGTAAAAAACAAAAACAACAACAAACCCAAAACCAATTTTTATTTAAAACTTCTGAAGTCTGACTACTGAAGTATTTACAACTGTTCCCAAGAAACGCTAAAGAAATAAGCAAGGTCTGAGAGTTACTAGTGCAGGGCCTGAGACCTGCCATGTAGTATTTGCTCAAATCGATCACAACCTTGAATTTAAAACAAGCCCCTCTAATTAGATTATATACATAACACATTTTAAAATTTTCCATAATTTTACATGTATTGAATCTAATTATTGAAGGGTCAATCTTTAATTCACCCCCACACTGTTGCAGGAGGGTAGGTGATCAAGCAGCTTTCCCCCTGCTTGTGCCTGCCCCTCCTTTTCTCTCTGTTCCCCCTCCAATCTTTCCCCTGCCATCCTCTGCTCCCTGCCCCCCTTACCCCCATGCAGGCTCCATTCAATGAGCACAGCCCCAGCCCAGCCCCTGCAGCAGTGGCATGCAGCCCACACAGCTGCTACAGGGCCAGGCTGAAGTTGTGCTTAATGCCCCAGCTGCAGCATGGATGGAGCCTGACAGTGCAGAGCAACAGTAAGGGGTAGGGAGGGAGAAGGGCAGGTGGGGGAGCAGACAATGCATAGAAGGGGCCCCACAAAGAGGCTGCAGGGGGAGCTGGCAGAGTGCAGAAGGACAGGCAGCAGCTGTGACGCCAACCCTAGGATGGGGCTGTAAATATGATAATCAGCCATTAACACTGATCAGAAAAAAGAAGTACTAGACAAGAACAATCCAGGAACAGTATAAAGGTCTGTTAACTTGCTATCCATGAGAACCAAAAATGCCTCTATGATCAGTAGATTCTCCTTGTATTATCCGATTTCTGGACTAGAAATCAGACTTAAGTTTCTCTATTAACTTTCTCTGGAAAGAATCTTAAAACCACCTATTAGGTAGTATAGATACTATAACATTTTAGCACACAGAAACCCTACTCCTAGAGTAAAATAAGTGTGGTGACCACTGTAGAAAAACAACAAAACAATGGTTCCTACGCCTCAGTTGTAAACTTTATGTTAATATTTATTGCAATACTGTCAAAGTCTGGTGATCTGCAGTGGTCAAAGAATAAGCAGATTCAATACCAAGGGAGAAAGAAAACAAATATACTCAAAAAGGCAAACCAAAAAAGTTAGAAAAGATGAAATCGCTATATCAAATTGTCTTTGTCCTAGTTTAAAAAAAAACAAGAGCATGCAAATTAGAAGTTAATGATAAAACTCAGGTGGATTAATTTACCTTCAATCTGTACACAGCAGGGCTTCCAGGGAAATGTTTAGCAGCTCTCTCAACCCAATATTTTCCTCTTCCATCAGTAACGTCATTTTTACACAATAATTCCGCGATTTTCAGTACAAGGTCTTTCTGAGTTGGGTTCAACTCCACTGAACGCTATTTCCCAAACACAAGATATGAGTTGTTATTTTTGCAGACAGCATGAAACATTTCAACATTTATCTATAGTATAACTAGAACAAACATGAATTCTAAATATGAAGAGCAATACTGATGATCAGTATGTACTTACAAAGTTTGAAATGGGCCATAAAGATACCTTTAGAAATCCCTGGGAATAGTACTCTACCAAGATGCATTTTGAATCTGTTGGCAGCAAAATCTTAAAGAAGGGGAATATACTTATTCTGATAGTTTTACAGCCACGTACATCCAGAACAACTATCATTTGTCTTAATTCTATAATATATTTTACTAGTAGTTAGACTCATCAGGTTGGAGGTACACAAGAATCTTAGAACCTAAAGATGGTAAACACTTTTCAATGCAGAAAGAGTTAAATAGTAGAGCTTTTTAAAGATCAGTTGTAGAACTGAGGTTGGACACAGACAGTGTTACAATTGTCTAAATGTTGTTTAATTCATCCTTGGTGTAATTACCATGCAAAAACGGTTTGGAACAAACAGAGGAATCCTTCTTCCCAATTTTTTATCTTGTGCATTTGACAACAGAAGAAGCTTTATCAGATTGTTCACTTAGATATAGCACAGTTGCCTCCTATCTGTTTTGTATAGCAAAAAGCAAATAGAAAAAAAAAGCTGACCCCCTTTTCTGAATTCTACATAATTCAAACAGAATGCAGGATAACCTATTACTTACCTTATAACAACCCACAGCCTTTTCTATGTTATCTTCAGCTTCATAGAGCTGGCCAAGGAATCTGTGAGCTTTTGGATCTCTCTCCTGTACGCTAAGGTATGTTGATATATACCTAGAAAGAAAGAAAAAAAAGAAAAAAAAGTTTCCGGATCACTACTTTAAAAAAATCTAAAAACTTAACCCATTCTTGTGCTGAATAGCGAGGGTTCAAACCACAGCATTTGGCTCTGCAGCTCCAAAGCAGCACACAGCGTTTATCTGGTATATACCAATGCAACACTTGTTAGTAAATATTTGGACAGCACAAAGAACCAATAAATGTATACTGTGCTGTAGAACTGCGACTACCTCAAAGAGTAGTTTTACTTTTCTAGTTCCAGCTTTCCTTCAGGTTCTCTACTCCCACCCCCCCACCTCTCACTCTAAAATCTCTCTCGCTCTACCAAGTTGCATCGAGGGTAAGATGCACTGAACACTACCTGAAATTAACAGAGTTTTGATATTTAAAGTACACATGATAAATAGCTATATAATAATATGTAATTAGCCATCACCGTAATTAAAAACAATGTTTTTAATGTATGTTACCTTTTAGCAAGTTCATATTCTTTTGCTTCATAATACAGCTTAGCAAAAAAGAATCCTTTAATTGATTTCTAGGAGACGAGAAACATGAAGTGTTATGGCAAAACTTTCATAAAATACAATGTTCCTATATTTAACCAAAATAGTTTAAACATGATTTTCAGTTTATCTGTATTCAACTAAGGGACTAAACTTTAGATACATATTTTCAATCCTACTCCAGTTTCTCATTAAATTCTGTGTTATTCTTACCCCAAACTATTATAAAGTCCTACTTCCTATTTATGCACAGTACTAATACCCTATACATAGGCAAATTAAAGCTACCTAGCAAATAGAAAACTTCACTGCCCGAGTATATACTGGAAATGTTTTTGTTGACTATAAAAGCAACAAGTGGCACACTAAACAGGATCATTTTGGTCAAAACAGACTTTCGGCAGCAAATTTACTCTATTATGCATCTATCTAGATGAACTCCCTCTTAAATTATATACACCAGAACAAGTCTATCAGCAGAAACTGATTTTCACAATTTCAGAAATAGCACATTATTTCTAGCCAGAGTACTCCTGATACCCTCTGTTAGCTCTCTCTAAGAGGAAGAATTGTGCTTGTGCAAAAGTTAATTTATAATCAGACACACTGTATGTGGATCACTTCCCACATTCAACAATTGTTTAACATGTGTATGTCAACTACAGCAACTGCTTAACTGGAGGGAAATATTTAAAATATTCAATATACAGTGAGGTTCCTTTAAATGCAGTTTTGAAACTGCAATCAAGATAACTCAACATTACACATCCAGACAGTACTCCGAGAAATATCAGCCTTCTATACACCATGGTCAGAGAACTACTGCATTGATGGCAATCAAAAACTACCCAATAATTATCTGGAAAGCCTGCAAGGAACAGGAAGGCCACAAGGAAATTCTATGAAAGGAGGATGAACTGTGGACATTGAGTTGAAAACTAAGAATTTTGCTTGGTTTGCAGCAGTAAGTTCAAGCACTTTTTTGTTAACAGGATAATATTCAACTTTCAGCTCATTTAAGATCTGTGGCAAATAGAAGATGAGCCATTATTTCACATATTTCATAGACATTAGGGCTGGAGGGGACCTTGGAAGATCTTCAAGTCCAGCTCCCTGCCCCAGGGGCAGTAAGTGAGCAGGGGTCATAGGATCCCAGCAAGATAAACATTCAAATTTGTCTTGAAGGCTTGCTTGAACCACCTCTGGCGGCAGTCTATTCCAGACCTTGGGGGCTCAGATTAAATCCTGTATATTTTTAAACCTCTCCTCACTTCAAGTCACCCATCTTAAATCAAATAGAATGATTTTCTGAATGAAGGTGGGACAGATTTAAAAGTCAAACTTGCCTCTATGGACTATGGTATAGATTCAAAACTGAAATCTGAAGATGCCTGTGAGCTAGTCTACTAAAAAGGGACTAATGAAGCAGTGTAGTCGCACAGTATCCAAGATCAGTGTAACTGAGGAATAAGAAGCATCTATTTCTACTGTTTACTCCTTGCATTCAGCTGTAGCATAGTTCACAGAGTCACTCAGTGCTCCCCGTTTCTGTAGGTCTTTCACACAGAAAACAAAGAGATGAAAAGTATTAAAAGTGGGGTGTGGTTAATAAACACTTGCAATGGCCAACTTCTTATATTCAATAAATACCAACTTGTCATCATCTGGTTTAAAAAGGATCTGAATTCTGTGACTCAGCCTCAACAAAATCCCTGCATGTTTGCTCAGGTACGAGACGGTACAATTGCTGCGTTCACTGATCCTGTCTAAATCCTTCTGTGTGTTACAGTGCACACAGATGTGCGATGACATAAAAAGGCTGCATTGTTAAATATCCTACCACTGCAGTTTGCAGCAAGGTAAACAGTAAAAACAGACCTCATGCATGGCTGCATGAGACCTTTGAAAAAAAGGTCAAATGTGGCTTTTCAATAGGCCAGGGGCACCCATGACTACCATGACAGCTTACTGACCACTTTCTGGGCTTGACAGCTAGGGAGCTGGCCACCCAGACCCTCTTCCCTGCTATATTCAACATGCCAAGAACAAACACTTTTCCCAATATATAAGAACTGCCACTGACTGGGTCAGACCATAAGTCCATCTTGCTCAGTATCACTGTGCCCGTGGCAGAGCAGAGGCTGAAAGGGAACGTGACCTAGCTATGACCAGGGGTATAGACTGTAGCTGTGTTTCTCTAAAGACACAGGCAGACGAGGTTCTTTGCATAAATCTGATATCTTTTATTAGACCGACTCAAATAGTTGGACAAATTCTTCTTAGCAAGCTGGGCATTTGTACCTGAAAGCTTGCTAAGAAGAATGTTTCCAACTGGAGCTAAGGATGTTACCATGCTAGCACACTAACAGTGTTCTCTAACTCCTTGGCTCTACTGCCTCAGTCCCATCCGACTCCTGTCTTTTCTTCCTACCTGATGTTATATATAAAGAACAGGCTGTACAAACCAGTGAGGCATATAAATACACCGAGTCTCTTGTGCAGCATGGGTTATTCAGGACCTGGCTATCAATGCAATGACTTCTCTGCTATAAGCAGTCCAAAGTGTGGCCGTTCCCCGCAGGGCTGATTGCCCTAGTGTTCCTTTGCCCGATCACTACCCTGTCATGTCAGTGCCTATGATGCCCAGCCCTTAGATTATCTAATATCACTTCATAGTGTCATAGTTTCATAGTAGCTAGGGTCAGGAGGGACCTGAACAGATCATCTAGCCTGACCCCTTGCCACAGGCAGGAATGAATGCTGGGTTCACAAGACCCCAGACAGGTGATCACCAAACCTCTTTCTGAATTTCCCCAAGGTAGGGGCAAGGACCACTTCCCTGGGAAGCTGGTTCCGATTTTGGCCACCCTAACTGTAAAATATCGCCTCCTGATCTCTAACCTAAACCTATTCTCCATGAGCTTATTACCATTGTTCCTCATCACCCCAGGTGGTGCTGGGGAGAAAAGGGCTCTTCCTATTTCCTAATGATAGGACTTGTTGACTGCAAAACTAATTTACATGCTGAATGTTTCTCTTCTCTCAATCTTATTCAAACTGTCCCACGTTTCCAACAAAGCCTTGACTGGGATGATGTAGTTGGGGGTGGTCCTGCTTTGAGCAGGGAGTTGGACTAGATGACCTCCTGAGGTCCCTTTTCCAACCCTAATTTTCTATGGTTCTATTTGAGTTGGTCTAATAAAAGATATTGGATTTACCCAAAGAAAGTCATCTGGCGACCACCAGGGGTTTTCCCACAGTTCCTCTCTCACTTGCAGCCTCCGGCATTTCAAAACTAGGAAGCCCTGACTCCGAGGTCACACCCCTCACTCCCCTGCTTGCTAGCTCCTCTGCCCCTTTCCTCCAAGAGCCGGTCCCATCCCCCTTGGAATTGGCCAGAACTCCCCGCCTCCCTCACAGCCAGTGCCAGGGAAGTCACACCTGAATGAAACACAGCCGGAAAGAGAACTGCCTGATAGCTGGAAACTGTCAATTTACTAGTTTCCTTTTCCAACTCCTAGGTATGCTGTGGTGGGAAAGAGAAAGTGATAAATCCCAATCTGCTTTCCCTTCGCCATTCACCAGGATCCCGTGACTTCACACACCCAAGCACAGCCAGGAAGAGCTAGAACTCCTCCCCTCCCCCCATCTTTATCAAGGCCAAACTCAGTCGGGTAAGGCCCAAAAGTCAAGCTCCCAAATTCAAGCCTGCCGGCCCGGCTAGGCCCGGCCGCTCTCACCTCGCGGGGGGACGGCGCGGCGGCCTGCACGGAGGCGATGTACCGCTCCACCTCGGCCTTACGGCGCCGCATCATGGCAGCCGCGGCGGTCAACCGGTCTCCGCGGACCGGCCCGGCAGCGCCGCGCGGCGGCGCGCCGCGGGGGGGGGAGGGCGCCCCCCCCCCCGCGACTACGAGCAACAGCCCGTGTCGCACGGCGGGAAGCGGAAGTGACGGAAGGGAGTGCTTGAGGCGCATGCGCACCCCCTACAGTTCCGTTTGCGCCTTCTCAACATCCGGGCACTTTCACACGTTCCTCTCCCCCTCCCTCCTGGGTGACCACGCCCCCTGTTGCGTAACCCCGCCCCTAACATCCGAGCATTTTCACGTTCCTCTCCCTTCCCATTGAGTAGCCACACCCCCTGCCACATAGCCCCGCCCCAACATCCGGGCACTTTCTCGTTCCCACCTCCCATTGGGTAGCCCCGCCCCACCCCACCCTTTTCCCGGGCCTGTTCCCTTCCCGCCCTTACTTTGTTGCGCTGGGGGGGCTCTCACCAATGCAGCCCAGTATGCCGTTAGCCTTCTTGGTAACCAGGGCACGCTGCTGGCTCCTGTTCAGCTTATTATCTGCTGTAAGCCCCAGGGCCTTTTCTTCAGGACTGCCAGCTGGTCCCCAGCCTGTGCTGGTGCACTAGACCTCCTGCAGTCCAGCCCCTGCTCAGATCAGGGCTGCCCCAACCAGACCACTCCCTTCCTGTAGTGGGGGCCCCAAAACGGGACACAGTCCTCCAGATGTGGCCTCACCCACTCTGAATAGAGGGGAAGAATCAACTCCCCTCGCTCTCCTGGCAGCATGCCATAGCCTTCACAATGTTAAGTGGCAGAGAAAGTCAACAGAGATTTGTCATTTGCTCTCTCCCGCCATATAAGAACTCAGGGTCACAAATTGCACCAGGGAGGTAGTCAGTTTCAAGCTAACACGAGGCATGCTGTGTCCCATTCGAGTGTGGACCTCACTGCCACCGGATGCGGAAGCTGCCAGTTTCGCGGGATGCAAACGGATTAGATAAATTCCAATCCAGTAGTGAGTGGTCGCTATTGAGCGTAGGAGCTAGGGATACAGCCTCTGAATTGCAACTTCCTAGACCTTCGCTGTTGGAGGCTGCATGCGAGAGAGCAGTGGAAACTGGCCATCTCCTGTTCACTCCTCCTTTCAGTATCTGCTCTCTGCCACTGCGACACCGAGGGTCTGACCCAGTCAATGGCAACTCTTACGTTTTGCCATAGGCAGTCCCTGCGCAGAGTTCAGAGCCAGGAGAGCCAGAGGGATAGGTGATGAGATGACTGAACGTAGTCAGGATGCTGGAGCAGGCTATAGGGATTTAGCTGTCCTCCTCTACCCCCTGGGTTTCTTGCCCTGGAAACCAACCATTTCAACCTTCTCTGGCTTCCTTCCTTCTCTGGGGGAGAGAAGCTGAAGGGACTTGGCCCTGACTGGGCTCTTGGCAAAGGTGTCTCCTACCCTCACAGCTGGCAGGGCACAGCAACAAGACATTTTGTAAGAGGGAGGACACAGACTCTTCCTTTAGCTCTTTTTGTTCTTGCTTCTCAAAGCAAACGCCTCAGAAGCAGAGTGTAGTGCCCCCCTACTCCCCTCCCCCTCAACCCTGCAAAGGCAAAACACAGTCAAGGGCCAAAACTAGGAATTAAACCTATTACTGTTATATTGTTACTTTATATGCATAAATACAACCAAAGGTGGACAAACATACAGTGTGGCAAATGGAAGAGAGAATTGTGTCTTCCTCTTCACCTTGAATATCCCTTTAAGAGGTGAGACAAGTAAATTTCATAACCTTTAGTGACTGCACTGGAAAGTTTAAACCAACTAAGGGGTAATTGTTCTTAGACATTTTATGGGATTCCAGTTGATACTGCATAATCCATCAGAATCTGTTAAGGTTGCCATATTAAAAGAGGAAAGGTTAGATTTTTGTTAAATTAGTTTGCCGTATTTGGTAATGTATTATCACAGGCAATTTCTGATAGATTTTTAATCCATTGCACTTTTAACAGGAAGGAAATGAACTAGATTCTGTACAGCTATAAATGAAGAGTCTAATGCTATTTATTGGAAATTTTGATTGGTTTGGGCTCAGTCCTCCAAGGATGCAATAAAACTTAAAAATGCTGAGCACTTAACAGGATTGACCTTTTATCCTTGAGCTCTGTGATGTAAAAGTAACATTCCCAAATAACAGATAAATGTTTCACGTGTTCATCTAAAAATTACTTATTCCACGAAGCAATGTAATGTATTTTTAAAACCTCAAGTGTTCACATTTGGAAAAAAAAGAATTCTTCAGACATCTGGTACAGTTAAAGCATGTTATCTTTTGAAATACCTGGCATACATTTTCTGCATAAAAAATATGAAATAAAATTGCATATATATTTAATGGATCATTTTTTAAACATTATTAAGGTCCAGCAGAATAAGGCACAAAAAGGAAATAAAATACAAAACACTCACAGAAGTTACTGCATTGTTTTAAACTGAACATAGCAAAATTCAAGTAGTTCTGAATATGCTCATTTTTTGCAACAGGAATATATTTCTTATGTTGCTGTTTCCACTTTTGAAGTCTGATGTACAAAGATTAATAAATTTAATCTAGTTAAGGCAATATACCTTCTGCATTAGTTGCAGTTAGATTGACAGTTGTTTCAGAGACAGTTAAAAAGTAAGGCTTTTCTAAGTGTACTTTGATCAGAATCTAAAGAATGAACAGTTCCCAAGAAAGTGATAAATTACAGATTTAGGCCTGAGTCATTCAAAGACTTACATACATGATTAATTTTATGCACACAAATAGTACTGAGAACTTTAAAGGAACTATTCATGTACATAAAGTTATGTGCATTTTTTAAGTCTTTGCAGTGAAGTACTAGCAGATCTTATGTCTATACAGTATCCCCACCTAACATCAGTGGGTGGGCACCAGATTCTATCTAGGAGTCCAACTACAGAGCCACCAGTCTCTCTCATGAACTGATAACTCATTTAGTATGTGAATATAAGCTACATAGCAACAGACAGATATAACTGCAAATGGCAAATAGAGAATTTAAGATATATTTAGTTTTTGCTAGTTATGAAGTTTACATAAAGTATCAGAGTGTTCTAGACATATGTTCTGAGGGAGATAAGAGGCAAGAACTTTAGTATGAAGCTAATCATGCAGCAGGGAAATTCATTCTCTTTGCTTGTGTTTGACTGATTGCAGCCTCAAATGAAATAAAATCAAATAATATTGTTAACAGCTTCTCATTTTTGCACAGAAAATGAGATTTTTGGTATCTTTACTTCCTCCCTAAAGTTTCAGCTAGTTTTTTCAGTCTCTTCTTCAGTTCCAAGGGAAACTTCTCATAGCACTTCTTGCAGACAGGCTTCATATCAAACTCAACAAACTTGTTCCTAAAAATGGTAAAGCAAAATATAACTTTAGTGAAAGGGATTTTGAAGATGTCTCATAATGTTATAAAAATAAAAGACACTTATACCACTATGAGGGTTTTTACTTACAAACGGAACACAAATTACAAATAATAAAATGAGACAGCACATGCAGACATACCTGAATCTATTTTAAAGGGCGCACACATGACTATTTATGCCTGTGTTTTTGAGTAATGTTAAGGAAGAAAGACCCAAGTTCAGAAGAATCTGGGTTTCTTTATACCTGGCTTGTTGAGTATTGGTTTCTTCGCTAAAGAACACAAACTAGGTTTTGAAAAATGGTGCTAAGTGCACACCAGGCATATAGTCAATACACAGACATACACACATAAATAGTATACTAGTGTATATACTCTGTATATACTACAAGTAGATATATCATAAACACACTACTAGCAGATATATCATATATAGTATATATATGAGTGATAATATATTAGAGAGCAAGAGAGAAAAAGAAAATGAAGTAAATAACTGAAGTGAAGAAAACATTTTGTAGTGTACTTTAACTGCAAAACATTGGGATTGAACAAAAAAAAATATTATGCATTTATCTGAACTCTTCTACCTACACAAATAGCCTACATATACTTTTTGCACCTCAGTAAGGCCAGTTACCTTATTGGACTGCCTTATGCCTTTTCTAACAGCTTTGAAATTGATGGCTCCTAGTCCATTTTACCAATTATGCAGTCAGACACAGGAAGGCCTGATTTGCTACAACATGCAGTGATGTATAATTAAACAATGAATTGTAAACATATTAGTACAGATATGGGATACATTTTCAAAATTCTTCACATTTCCATTAGTAAAAACCTATCTTGTTTGAATATTGGCACGCGCTATTATGAAGACAACTGAAAATGCTGTACTGGATTGAAGCATGGACCATCTTGTTAAACATCCTGTTTCTGGCAATCAGCAATACCAGCTGCTTTTAGAGGAAAGTAGAAGAAACCCTACAGCTATGGGCTAATCTGTCCAGACAGGAAGTGCTACTGTGTCAACAAAATAATGAAACACTGCTGTCAAATGCCAGCAAACATACTGGAAAAGTAAAATGCTATGTAATATTTTCTGACTACACTGGTAGTATATTAGGTTACTTAAAACACATAGTACTACTTTCCAGATATAAATTGAGTACTCAAGTTTGCTTTGCCTATATTTTAACTATCTGTTGTATTTTTAAAAATGGAAATGGTTTTCTGATTAATAATCCATGCAGGAAAAAATAATTTGTTTTCCCACAAGATTTCATGTCACTTTGGAACAATATGATGGTTTGTAACAGGAGACTCTGGCAACCCTTTTATTTAAAAGTAATGATTTATAAGTGGCTCCAAAAATAAGGAACATATGAATTATGAGAAACAAGTTCAGTGATATTCAGAAGGTGGCCGGATAGAGCGTGTAATACATGAATTTAGACAGTCCCTGTTTGGGTAATGAATTAAGATTAAGATAAGAACAAGAGCTCCTAACATACAGTAATTAAAAATGCAGCGCAATATTAATGTTGCAGTGAAAAAATCTTAACTGGAAAATGGAATTTGAATACAACATTGTTTGCAAGGACTGGTATTTTTAAGTTGATAAAAACACCAGCTTTGAAAATATGAATTTAAGTACTAAGTGTTCACTCAAAACTATGCAGCATCCCTGAGGTTATTAAACATGAAACTACATTTGAGATACAGGTAATATTCAAACTCTGTGCCCAAATGCCTGTTTGCACATGTACTTAATTGTGCTTAGAAACCTTGGGCAATTTGGGAGGTTGAAGCCTGAGCGCTGAACACTGTAGGGAAGCATTAACATAATCTGTTAAAAAAATTAAGAGGCTTTAACACAAATTTCCACATTTTCTAGTTGTGTTAATAAAAGGAATATCACAAGATTTGTTTCTTGCAAGAATGGCCAAAACTTAATATTAAAATTAGTATTAAAGATTTCAAGTTGTATAGGAAAATTAATCATTGTGTTATCTTCAGTTATCACAGATACATGCAAAAATGAAAAGAATATCCATTAACACTAACCAAAGAAGAAAGAAACAGAGGTGGTAAGAGGAGGAAAAGGAAAGTTTACAAACAGACTGGCTTTTTCTTTTTCTGCTTGTCTTTATCCTTCGCTTCTCGCTCCCGTTTGGCTAGTCGCCGCTTAAATTCTTCAGGCATTTTCTCGTAACAGTGTTTGCAGACAGGCTTTAGATCAATTTCAACAAACTTATCCCTTTTGATAGGGCAAAGAAGAAACAAAGGAAAGAACAGCAAAAGAGTTACAAAGTAATCTTAGCTGAAGAAAGAACTGACCAGAAAGCAGAAGTAGATTTAAAAGGAGTAAATGTAATAAAAGAAAAGAATATGGATGTCATTTATGAAAGGCTACCTGTTTTCTGTACCACTGCAGTTAAACAACATCAATGTGTACATGTAAAGATGACCCTTGACCCATTTTGAAACATCACAGATGTTTTCATCATCTTAAACTATCTGATAAACTTACTTGAGTGTTAATTTAGTGTTGCAAGTGGAACAAGAGAAACAGTTGACACACCATGCCTTATTCAGCGCAGAGACAACTACGGAGAAGGGGAGAAAGACATTACTTTCAGTTCAATAAACAGAGGCATTTGTTAAAAAAAATAAAAATTTGCACAATTCGTAGGACATACAGTTGAGGAGCTTACAGTGATGAAATATTAAAATTAAGGAGAAACCCAGGGATGATCGTAACAATAAAAGGGAGATAAGGAAAAGCACATGAATATTTTGTAGGTAAATATTGGGTAACCTGGGACAGTGGTCTCCAAATTGCATCAATTTGTTTAGGCTGACCCTGAACTAGTTATGATTCTCTTTTAGCAAGGTCTTTATTTATCATTTTGCGATAGCTCCACACTGGCAGGGTTTAATTTTGATTTGAGATCAAAGTTGCTTTGTACATTTGTCAATCTCTTTTTTTCCTACACCTTTTTCTCTCTCCTATCTCTTTCCACTTTTCTTCCATCTCTCCCATGCCAAGATTTGTCTCCTCTCCCCTTCCTGCTTCTGATTAGTAGATGTAGCACAAACATATGACAATACTTTTCTATTAAAATGCATCCCAGAATGAAACAGATGACCTGTTTTGCAGTTGTAGTCAGTTATTTTCATTTACAGTAGTTGCTGCCACAAATTAAACATTTCTCTCTGAAGGAACATGGTGCTAGTTGTGCACTGTATCCTCTTCAGCTTTAGGGTGTCAGTTGTCCAGCGAATGCCAAAATATTATTCCACTGCTTGTCTAAGTAATCCTTATCCAACAGATAGTGGACGCAGTCCCTCATGGAGGTAGTCCCTTTCAAAGTAACCCCCCTGAGACACAGTCAATGATCCTGTTACAGGTAATCCGCTGCTTTATTGGTTCATTCATTTGCCATCTCTGGTAGAATAAAACTGTACAAACTTCATTGCTGAATACAGTGTTTTATTATGCATGTGTATTCAGGAATAAAAGAATGGCTATAAAATAATGGTTAAAAGTGTGCAGAGAACAATGAAATTACACACTGCAATCTGCTCAGTTTAGCAACTAGAACCTATGATATGAAACACAGTACACAGTAGAAACATGAAGATACCTAATTATCATTTAATCCAAATGAACTGTTTTCTTTTTGCAGCACTTCAGTGAAGTCAAACGGAATATTTCCTTCAAGAGGACTCCTAAATTGTTGTTTTATAGATACATTATTCTATAATCTTGAAAATATATGGGTTCTTCCTTTACTGACGCTACAATCCATGACACAATCTCCTCTTCAGAAGACTAAGTCTTGTCTCACAGGTAATGGTAGTGGCCTTGCTGATTCTAACACTGGTATATGGTACTTCTTCAGACAGATGCTATTGTAAGGCAAATATTAATTTTGTATTATTGCATTGTTTTGATTATAAAATGTAACTTCCCCTAAAAAAATCACTTGTTACTAATACAGGAGGTTAATTTATAATCTGATCAATACGATACTGTTATGCAGAGCATATGATCCCCTGCAAAGCTTAAGGGTGCTGCACAGGATCTTCTGTTTCATCACCACCATGCTGGAGCAGACATCCTTGTGTGGAACTTTTAAGGGCCAAACTGCCTGGCTCTTAAAGGTTCCACCCAGGTTTGTCCACATGGTGGCAGAGGAGCGGCAGGCATTGCTTACATGGATAAATCCCACCATGACTAGGTGACTGATTGCCACTACCCCACAGTTCCTGCAGATGTCCTTGTTCTGCTGCACTGGAGTGGGAGCAAGGTAAGGACCTGGTGTCAAGCTGAGGTTTCCAGACTCCCTGCTCTGCCACAGGGAACTGGGAAGCAGTGGGTTCCTGGTCCTGGGCACTTCCTGTTGCAGGTTACTACAGTAGCCATAGAGCCAGAGAAGAGCCCATAGCATGGTTGGAAACAATACAGAGTTCTGCTGGAACACCCCCTGTTTCACAGCAAGTTGGTAAAAATGAATATTGAAACACTTGAGATTCAACACATTAGCATTTTCCAACAAAACAAAAACAAACAAAAAGGCCTGAACATCCCCATAAGACCACCCAGTTTCCCTCTCCTTACATAACTCAGGAAAATTCAAATCTGAATCCAAAGTGTTGGCTCAGATGTGCCCACGACATTTGAATGCAGAACTGCAATTCAAATTTGCCCCTATCAGGCCTATCTTAGTTTAAACCACTAAGCTGTTTCCATTTAACTAAAAATATTTGTCTTGATAAATGTATCACCATGGAATTTTAAGCTGAAGGCAATATGATGAGTCTTGGGCAAAATGCTTTGGCACAGAAGAAGCTTAGTTTATCATTTTTTAGCACATTCAACCCTTTGGGTCCTTCCCTTGATTAGTTGATTCTCCTCTAGGATTTTGTAAAAGAAATACGATTTCAAAGTGTTTGATTTGTAGTTCTCAAGCTACACACAGAGGAAATTTTTTCCTAAAATTAATCCTGAAAATGAGGAGTTGGTTTATAATCAGAACAATATGGTACTTAAAAATTCTGCAGCAGTTTGTCTCAGTTTGTTGTCAAACAGCCACTGTATTTCTAGGACATGTGCTCTTTTAATGCTAACCTTTTTCAGCATTAGCCAGATTTTTTAAGGATACTTAGGGCTGCCTAATATATACATGCTCAGGAGTGAGGGTGGGGCATTTTAATTAGAGCGGTTTCCGGAGAGTCACTCTAATTAAAATACTGCAGTGTCACATGTATTAAACCCCTGGGCATTTAAAAGCGGCCATGGGACACTTTAACTGAAGCTCATTTGAAGAGCTTTAGTTAAAGCGCCCCCACAACTATTCCGAAAGGCGAGGGGGGAGGGAGGGGGCTTAATACATGTGACACTGTGGTGATGCCAGTTCTAATTAGAATGTGGAACAGACTCGATTAATCGATTAATTGAGTCAGCTCCAATGTGTTCTAATTAGAACGCATGGGAGCATGTCCATAGGCAGCCTAAGTGCCTAATTATGGAGGTAAGCATCTAATAGGAATTTCAAAAGTTTCTAAGAACCTAATTCCCATTGAAATAGAAATATGGTGCTTAAGTGCTTTGAAAAATGTGGTTAGGTACCTATGTGTAACTTTAGGTGCCTACTTTTAACAATCTGAATTTTAGGCTCCAGTCATTTAGAGATGACTGTATATGAACTTCTGTATCTGTACAGAGCTCCATTGAAGTCAGAAGGGCTCTAAACAGATACAGGAACTGCCTGCCTACATCATATTCCATCACTGGGGCCATAGTGTTTTACACTCACGAGAGAAATGGAATAATTTAGAAAAATACACATTTGGAGAGGGATAATGAGACAATCATCACTTCTAAAGAGAAAACACACATCTTCACTTTTACTGGTGCCTCATTTAGTTACTGCTTCTTGTGAAATGATTTGATAAGAAAATGAAACAAGAGAAGTGTTTACCATCTCCTTCAATCACACGATTACAGTGGAAACAAACGTCGCCAAACAGCTGTAGATGGAGAAAAAAATGCTATGAATTTATCCTGGGTAGATTCTTAAACAACCAAATAATGATATTACAGCATAGGGACATTAACACAGCTCTATTTAGCTCAGTATGATAAAAAGAATGCTGGGGAAAAATTTAAAGCCACTTTCTACTTCCTTTTGTTACAAACAAGATTGTAAAATTATTTCAATTTTAATAATATACAATCTGTTCTTTTCCACTCTGCTAATTCTGTTTCATTTTTTCATTTCTCTTATCTGGCACATTTAAAATATGCTAGTCAAATTCCTTTATCATTAACTTATAGTTGATTTAACTTTCAGGTTCACATTCATGACTAAAACCATGTCTTGATGTTTCTGTTGCCAGCATTGCAGGGAAATACCCATATCTATTTGCTTTTGATTTTATAAAAACAAATATTACAAGAGCTAGTTCCTTTTGGGCCAAGCAAACAAATATACTTGTTAACATCTATAGGTTATGGCATTTATCCTTTACAGGTATATCATCAATATTTACAACTATACTATTAGTATTTCAATCATCAATCCATCAAAACTATCTTTAGAACTTCCATCCAGGAAGAGCACACACCAACTGCTGAAACGTCCTTAGCTTGACGAAGGGTTTTTGAACCTGAAAGCTTGCTTAATAACTATTCTCCAACTATTTGGGTTGGTCTAATAAAAGATATCAGATTCACTCAAGGAACCTTGTCTCTTTAGAACTATAGCATTTATTATTTTTTATTTGCAAAAAGTTACGCACATGATACTTTTCAAGTTGCTTGTGCTTCAAATAGTTGTAGTGAATTAATTTTAAAAGAATAAACAGAAAATATATGTAGTCTGTTCATCTTGCCAGTTATGTGAAGCTTAACACGGATATGCAAGGAACCTGAGGAACAGCACTTGATGCCCAAAAGCCTATCCAACCACTCTCCCAATTATACAGCTGACCCAATAAAAGGTATCACAAAAAATCCTCATCTCTTGTACACTTCCTGGACCATCATGGCTGTAGTGACACTATGACTCTACTATAAAGTAAATGGATCTGTGGAAAGAAGGACCAACTATAAACATGTACAAAAATAAAAGTGGTCACTAGGTGGTGTCTTCCAACAAATGTATTTGGTGTTTGCAGCTTTGGGAGAGGAAAAAGTGTGCCAGCTGAGCAGCACAGCACATCTTCATATAGAATTCTATCATTTTACAGTAGTAGCTGTAAGGAAACCCAAGCTCTTGATTAAGGCCTAGTGTTAAACCCCTGCCCCTGAGTAACAAGATTTTCTTTAGCTTCTTGGAAAAGATTGGGTGTCATCTGCACCACTAAACAGATGCACAAACCTTGCAAACACCAGGAAGCTCAGGGCAGTCCTATGTCAGTAATAATGATGGATTTGAAAGCCAATTGCAAACTATCTCAGGCATACTTTGTGATAAGTCTTACAATCTTGTTGAAATACTTGAATCAATTCCAGAAAAGCATTTAAATACTTATATATGAATGACAAAAACATATCCAAGATTACAATAATGAAAAGATGCACACAAATGGTTGTGAAATGGCCACATTGGGCCCTTCCTATTATTATTTCTTTCCTACCAATAAAGCAATTTGATTAATTGTGAATTTATCAGTGGACAAATGCAAAATGCAACCTCACCTGATTGTAGTGGGTTTCACAATACGCCAAGCCCTTCCTCTCATAGTGACGATGACCAAGGAATGGCTTTTCACACTTTGCACAAACAAAATGCTGTAAAGCAAATGTTACAAAGCACCTTCAGATTCATGGAGCTAATGAAAATTTTTTTGGAAACAAATACACAAATAAGGGTTCAACATTATTAAAGGAACGTCTCCTAGCTGTTCCTTCTTGACCTTAGAAATGTAACGTTAAGATCAAGTAAACATGAAATACTGCTCCTTTTAAGATCTGGCACTTCAAATTTCATGGACTAAAGAAAATAAAATATGAAACTGAAAAGGTTTTGGATGTGACTAACTAATATCATGAAGCTACTAATATCATGAAGCTAGCTTATAGAAACATTATTACAAAATTTCCTGCTTAGTGTTCATTTCCCCGCTTCTTTGTCTATATTTGCCCTTAAAGTTTCTACAGTTTCGAGAGATATTTTAGATCTACCAGAGACCTTCCAGAAATTTCCATAATTCTCACTCAAAGTACAAGAAATTTCAAAGCAGCACATTTTTTTTTAAATAGAAGGAGCTGCATGCATGATGACAATTAAAAGATAAAAATGTAGAACTTATGGCAAACTATTTTGTAGAATGTTCTGATCCTTTTTATTAACACTAACTCACAAAATCTAAGTATATTCAGACCACCATTTTGTAAAACACAGCACACTGTCTGAGGATTACCTCCACATGCCACTGTTTCCCCATAGCATTCACCACACGTCCTTCAATTGGTCTTCTACATGCTCCACAGATAGGAACACCCATTTTATCATGGCAAGGCAAGCAATATAATTCTCCCTTCAACTCACGGGCATCAGCACTAAGTTCCTTCCTGTTGAAAAATTAATTGACGAGTAATACAAAGAAGCTGATACTACAGACAATTTAAACTAATATGTAGTCTTGAGCACAGGATTTACTCTTATGAATTTATTTTAAAAGGTTTATTTACAGTAAATAATAGTCTTACTCAAAAATGGAGTTACAACATAATGCCTGGTTCTGGGGCTTTTGTCCTCAGGACTAACTACTTCTATTGGCAACTCAGAACCATTAAGTATCATACATTAAATTGCTTTAAATATATGATAGTTTTCTCATTTGCTTACATGTCACAAGATCATTTTGCAAACTATAGGCATGTTGGAGTAAATTCAGTTCCCAGTGCTACTAAAAGTAAATCAACTGTAGTTGACACATCTGGATTTATACAAATGTAACTGAGAAAAAAGATTCAGTCATCTCTGTTTCCATTAATGCTCCATGTCCTACCAAGCTTCAAGCAAAAAGAAATATGCACTCATACTTCATGGACATATTTATTCTCTTCCAATCACAGGATCTCACCTATATTTTTTAGTGTTACTTTGTAACCTGGATGATAAATCTGAATAGTTATGTCATTGAGAAAATATAAACTTTAATGCTGATGGCACTCAAAGGTGATATGATTTGGTTACTCTTGCTTTAGGATTACAGATCCTTTTTCCAACTGATCTTTGCTGTCTGTTTATCCTATATATCTCCAACGAGAAATTCCCTTCCTACTTCCTGAATGTCCAACTACAAACAACTAGTATGCCTGTGTTATAGCTCCTACTATCTCCAACCACAGTGTCTCAGTGAAAAGCTGTGGCTACCTGTTCTACACTGGAGTCTAATGTTAAAAAAAAACAAACCCAAAATTTGTTATGCACTCCTATTAGTGATCTCTCTGTCTGGTGCCTATTTGGGATGACGAATACCTCTCCCATCCAGCTGTTAGAGAGGCCACTTTGAAAATCCACAGATTTTATGAAGTACATCAAGATCCATACTAGTGGTGTATAGCTTTCTAGCAGCTGTCTCAGCAGTCTGCAAAACTCAGGCATGTATCTCAGTCCTGAAGTCAAGAATAGGCTGCTGCAGCCAAAGACAGAAAAATAAGTAAAAGCAGCCAAACAGGAAGTGAGGTATATGCGAGGAAGAAAACTGTACTTTTCCCATTTGTTTTCAAGAAACTCAGAAAAACAGACAACTAACTGAGATTTCCAAATTTACCACGACTTAAAAAAGGACTTGCTATGCAGTACTGGCTTTGTTTTTGGATATTGTGGTCTAATTTTTCATTCCTCCTGGCCATAGTGCTGATCGATATTGTGTCACACCAATGAATGTTTGTGGCCCCCTCTATACGTTACAGGTATTGCACAATTAACCAGCTAACTGAGCAATTACCTTGAGACCAGCTACACATGTAAAGTACATATCATGCCATAAAAAACTCCAACCAGCTTGAAAATGTGTACTAACTTTATAGCTGGTTGCTATTGAGCCTTCATTTGTACATGTGTCAGGGTCTCCCAAATCAGACCCTTGATGACATTTCAAGTGATGGAGAACCTACCATGCAGACAAGTAACCTGTCCTAATGGTTAGCCACCCTCCTTGTTACAATTGACTGGATTTCTTTAATGAGTTTTAGGGTGGACGAGCTTCTGTCCAGTCTTTCATCTCCTCCTGGATTTTCCTGCCACCATTTAAAACTCAGTTACATTCCAAAATGAACTTCTTTTCTTCCCTCTTAATACCTCTCCAACTTTTCCCTCCATGTTTTTCAAAACTTGTCCATGGAATGCAACTTCAGTTTTACCTTCAACCTCTCTCTCCCCCACTATTCAATCTCATTATATCTACTCACTCTGTCTTCTGAACTGTAACCAAAAATGGTCATGTTCACCCTAGTGAAACCCTTGTCTATGTCTACAGCTGCAAACTGTATACTTATAGCCACCAGCTCTCCCCTGCTACCTTCTTGTCCTCTAAGCCTTCATTTAGACCCATTAGTTGGTTCCCAGATTTCTGGAATCCAAAAACACGAACATCTTCTGTTTGAGCTAAAAAGATGCAGTTCATCAGCTGACAGGCAGTTGCAGACTCAATGCTTAACACACACTTTGAGCTTGTAGAGGGAACATGGGGGCACACTATTAGCATGGGGTGCTCAAAGCTGCACTTTAAAATGCAAATAGGCAAAATAAATAAAACTAGCATTTCTTAATTATTTCTCCCTTCCCAGAATGCAGTTACCCGCAGTTGGCACAGTTGAAGTGATCTGGATGGTAAGGATCATTCTTGAAGATGAGAGGCTGTTCATCAATAATAGCATGGCACTTCTGGCAAATGTATTTCCCCAAGCCCCTTGCTTTTTCCCGGTTGTGACAAGGGCGGCAAAGATGCCTAAAAACAGTAGGAAAGGAAAAAAAAACAACAGTATCAGTAAGTAAAGGTATCTGGGAACTTTACTTATAAAGTATCTATTCAAACTTCACTTCAATCAGCTGTCTGCTAGACATAGAAACCTTTAAGGGTTTCCTGTGTGGTAAATCACGCTTAAGATAAGTAAAGGTAATTTTATTCCATTCACTGACGGAATCGTTGTTCTGTTCTCTTGTGTTTAGTCAAAAAAGAGGAATTAAAATGTGCTAAAATGTTGTGTTGTTGACTGGTTTTACTCTGTGAATCTTAAAGTTAGATTGGAAGCTAAATGTTAATTTCAGCCCTCATTCTGCCAATACTTACTGACAAGCTTAAATTTAACTAGATGAAATCAATGGAATGCCCCATGTGCACCAAAACACACTACTGAAGGGTACAGGCCCTAGCCTCTGAAACACTCACTCACACTGAATAGTATCTCCCTCCTAGAGAAGTCCTGCAGAAGTTATTTGGACTACTCATAGAGTGCCCCCAAATCAGATAAAGGCATCAGAATCTGCCCCATGGTGGGTTAGAAAGAAAAGGCAGGTTGGAAAAGGTGGCTTGGAAAGAAAAGCCTGTAAATAAGACCAAAATATTTGTGAGTAAACCAAACAACTACTTTTTCCTATGTATAAGGGTGAACTCCATAATGAAGAAATAAATAACAGAAAATGAAAAGCCCTGATTGCAGCCACATACTTCATTCTGAAGAAATACTCAGAGAACCCTAGAGAGGTGTTAGGTAGATGTGTACAGAAATTGCTGAAGTGGTTATTATCACAGCACCTGCGTCTCTGAAGCATTAGCTACTGGAATCACACCAGAAAGTATCTGACATCTCACGTGAAAGAATTAATGGAATATACCTGAATACTCAAAACATACTATCAAAACATTCTCCTCCTTTTATGTACCCAAGTGACCTAAAGTAAAAGATATACCCAGAAGGTGACCCTGTAGGAAGTCTGGAGATGAAGTGGTTCATTTGTTGGCATTTTCTAAGTGTTTTTAAAAAAAAAAAAAAAAATCAAGAATTCTTAATGTTGACATTTCCTTTTTGTGCTGCATTCTCTGCATACGAGGCATTCTCGAATCCTTGTCCCATAAAGGTACCTTACGTGTAAAGAGAGACACTTCAGTTATATTCACTCCCTTTACTGTAATTTTTAAAAGCTGAGATAAGGTCAGCTACAGATTTTGGGAAGCCTTAATCATCACCAGTATGGAAGAGGCCAAGGGTTTACCTGCCAGCATTCTTGACAAATCCAATATCAGCCAGCACTTGTTGGCAAATATCACAGCAGAAGCATTCTGGATGCCAGCTATTGTTCATGGCTTTAATAACACGACCAATAATGAACTCACCTGCAGGTAAATAAAATACCAAGATATTAAAAAGTATAAAGTCCTTTTAAATACCAACTCAGACTAAGTAAATAGAAAACACACACAAACAAAAAACCCCAATCCTTCCTTTTGGTTTAAGCCCTATTGCTCCTGAAGCCTGGGTTCTCAACTTTATCTTTGGAGATACAACCAAAACAAATTCCTCTGCAGACAAAGCATATCTCCTCCCATCTCTCACACTCTTTACAACCATGGTTCTCAGTTGGGGAGCTGCAGCATGATGGGGTGCCACAAGATCCCCTTGGGGTGCCTCAGTACTGGCCCTGTGCAAGGAGTTGGGTGCACTGCTCAATTCCCACCCTGCCTACCCCAGAGTCCTCTGGATAAGCTTCCCTCTTCCACCCTTTGGCAGCTCCTGCATTGGCTGCTCTGAGCAGCATGCTCTACCACAGACAGATGGGAAGAAGCAAAAATGCATTTTTCAGGTCAGCTCATCCCCCAGTTCTTTGCAAGCACCCAGGGCTGGTGGGAAGGGCAGTGCAGCAGATAGTTCTGGCTCCCAGCATCCAAGTCCCTGGAGGAACAGCTGCAGTCGTATTCCTCTGGGAAGTGCTTTCCCCCTCAGGTACAGACTGGGGCTCAAAAGGGGTCCCGTTCCCTCCTCCCCAAGCCTCATATGTTAAGGGCCCATCATGTGCCACGTTTGTGCAGCCCAACCCTCATCCCTTCCAGCTTCATGTCCATAGGATCTGTTCATTTTGGCCCCAGGGCTGGAGTTCAGGGGCGGATCACCCCTGGGGTAAACAAAGCCAAAAACTGCCCTGCCAGTTCCCAGTCCCTAGTGGTACCCTGCATGTGTGTGGAATCCAGATACTGTGCTGGGAGCAAACATTCAAAGGGCTAGACAGAACTTGGGGGAGTAGCTTGAAGGGATGACTATTCTACTTACATTATAATATAGCAATACAGTTAATATCACATTAATAAAATAATGTTTATATTATAATGTTCATACCATATTCATATTAGTTTTTTAAATGGGTGTCACCAGATTCTGAAATCTTGTGGAGGGATGAATGTCTTTAATCTAAAAAGATGGACGTCTTTAGTCTAAAAGACCCAATAATTTACATGCCCTTCTTTATTGACCTCATTTACTGTCCATTTCTCTCTTCCAGTCCTTGAATTTGGTCAGTCCCTATAAGGTAGAGGATTGATGCACATTGCTGTTTAACTGAAGTGAAGCCTAAACTCTAATTAGTGACATTCCTTGGCTCATATAATCATACATTTTGAAGACTGAATTTGACTTAAAAGCTCAGGGAACATTCTGGACATCACTGGGAAGGACCCTAATTATCTGGAGGACAAATCAGAGATCAAGACATTAAGAGAGCCTGATTTCCAGGCAAAGCTTGTCTGGTTCTACTAGCCAAGCAGCATCATGACATCGTATGTAACTCAGCCTGTGATCACTCCCCTCCCCTCCATTTTGCATATTGTGAATTCAGCATTTGGAACGATTCAGCGAATGAAATTGCAAGGTGTTTTCATAGATTTCATAGATATTAGGGGTTGGAAGGGACCTTGTGAGATCGAGTCAAGCCCCCACCACCACATGCAGGAAGTCAGCTGGGATCAAGTGACCCCAGCAAGAAAAACATCCACATGTTTTTTGAAAGAGTCCAGAGTAGGTGCTTGCAGCATCTCTGAGGGGAGTCTGGTTCCAGACCCTGGACACTCACACCATAAAGAACTTGTTTCTTATGTCTAGTCTAAATCGGTCTTCCTGGAGTTTATGGCCGTTAGACTTTGTTATTCCTTGGGGAGCTCTGGTGCTGTTTTCCCAGGTCCTGATGCACCCCTTATATAATTGTAGGCTGCTACCAAGTCCCCCCTGAGCCTTCTCCTTTCCAGACTGAAGAGTCCCAAGTCCCTCGGCCTCTCCTTGTATAGCCTGCCCTCCAGGCCTTGGATCATATGAGTGACTCTCCTCTGAACTCTCTCAAGCTTTTCCACATCCCTCCTGAAGTGGGGGGCCCAAAACTGGATGCAGTACTCCAGCTGTGGTCTCACCAAAAGGCTGAGTAAAGCGGGAGGATGACATCCCTGGTTTTGCTTGAGATGCATCGGTGGGTGCATGCCAGAGTTTGGTTTGCTTTGCCAGTCACAACATCACATTGGTGGCTCATATTCATCTTGTGGTCAATCAAGACCCCCAAGACTCTTTTGGTCATGGTGCTAGTGAGCACAGCACTGCTGAGCCTGTAAGTATGTTGAAGGTTCTTCCTACCAAGGTGCAGCACCTTATCCTTCTCTACATTGAAGGCCATCAGGTTTTGGTCAGCCCACCTGAGAGCATGTCCAAGTCAGCCTGTATCCCCCAGCCTGTCCTGCGGTATGAATGCCCTCCCCCCATAATTTCTTGTCATCTGTGAACTTTGCCAGTTCTCATCTGACTCCTGAATCCAGATCGTTAATGAAGATGTTAAAGAGTACCGGCACAAGTACTGAGCCCTGAGGGACTCCACTGGTCAGCCTGTGTCACATTGATTTGCTCCTGTCAACTAGTAACTGTATCCCCCAGCCTGTCCTGCGGTATGAATGCCCTCCCCCCATAATTTCTTGTCATCTGTGAACTTTGCCAGTTCTCATCTGACTCCTGAATCCAGATCGTTAATGAAGATGTTAAAGAGTACCGGCACAAGTACTGAGCCCTGAGGGACTCCACTGGTCAGCCTGTGTCACATTGATTTGCTCCTGTCAACTAGTAATCTTTGGGTCCGACCCTGTAGCCAGTTACCTAGCCATTGGACCATAAGATGATCAAGGCCACAGGTCCCCAGCTTAACCATGAGGACATCATGGGGAACTAGGTTAAAAGCTTTCTTGAAATCCAGATATATGACATCCACATCATCTCCCTTGTCCAGGGCACAGTTACCTGGTCATAGAACGAGATGAGGTTGGTCAGGCAAGACCTGCCAGTCACAAAGCCATGTTGGCTGGCATTCAGATGCTTGCCTTCTGTTAGTCTGCTGTTGATGGATCCCACAATTTTCTCCAGGATTTTTCCAGAGAAAAATCAGATGTCAGACTGATTGGTCTATAATTCCCCGGGTCATCCCTCCTCCCTTTCTTGAAGATAGGGACCACATTGGCTCTTTTCCAGTCTTCCGGGACCTTGCCTGGGTGCCACAAATTTTCCAATATTTTTGCCAAGGGGGATGCAATGATGTCTACCAACCCTTTCAAGACTCTTGGGCACATTCCATCTGGGCACACAGACTTGTGAATGTCCAGTTTCTCAAGGTGTTCTCTCACCTGATCCACATCAATTTTGGGCCTGTCACCCACTCCCAGGATGGTTTGCATCCTTTCTGACAGTATGATTCCCTTAGGAGGGTGAAAAACCGACGCGAGAAAGTCATTTAGGAGATTGGCCCTTTCTTGGGTGTCAGATATCAGTTGCCCCGTTGGATCTTGCAGGAGCCCAATGCTATCTTTGTTCTTTTTTTGACTTCCCACATATCTGAAGAAGGACTTTTTGTTGTCCTTGATTCCCATAGCTAGCCTGAGTTCAGTTTGTACCTTGGCTTTTTTGGATCGCTTTCTACAGGTACAGATGAGTGTTGAGTAGTTCTCTTTGGTGATGCTTCCCATTTTCCAACTGGTGTAGGCTTCTCTTTTGAGTTTAATGAGGTCCAACAGTTTCTTGTTCAGCCAAGGGGGGCTTCCTTGCCCGCTGACTACATTTCTTGTGAGATGGAATGGCTTTCCTCTGTGCTTCAAGGATTACATTTTTGAGAGATGACCATTCCTCATGTACTCCCTTTTCTAGGAGGGGTATGGCCTCTAATTGCCTGACTGACCAAATCTCTGAGTTTGCAAAAGTCAGCCTTTCCAAAGTTAAGAACTTCTGTTTTCCTGAGGGGTTTGCCTGCTCTTCAGTGAACTAAGAAGATGACCAATTCATGGTCACTGTCACCAAGCTTCCCCCCTCGATCCTCACATTGCTCACCAGGTCCTCCCCTTTGGCCAGGACCAGATCAAGCAATGCCTCTCCCCTAGTCGGCTCACAGACCTGCGTTAGGTAGAGGTCATCAATGCAAGTGAGAAAGCTATGCAATCTGTCAGATTTGGCCCTGCACTCATCCCAGGATATGTTAGGGAAGTTGAAGTCCCCCAATTGTGCATTGGGAGTGCACAGCCAGTTCCCTATTGAACTGGTTTTGACTTAGTTGGGATTGCCAGGGGTTCAGGATAGGATTTGGTGGGGAATCAGGAATCAAATCAGGAACTATCTTGGCTGAGCATAAGTGAGGCTAGACGTTTCCTCTGTGGCTCCTGCCACAAAGTGCTGGATCAGACTCTCATACCTCTAACAAGTGGCTGTTCGGGGCTACAAGCAAAGAGAGTTTTCTTCCTGCCTTGCGAATCAGGTACGCTCAGTGATAACTGAGGCAAGCAGCAGGATTAGGAAGGGGGGCGCTGATATGGAAGAAGAGGAGATTGGCGTTTTCTCCAAAACAGGAGGCATGGTAGGGCAATGGGGATCACAGAGTTTAGGGTGCGTGTTTAGAAAGTCACTGAAATATAGAGGGAAATGGAAAGGCAGCACAGAGGAAGGCAACTTGTTGGGGAGAACAGGAGGATGCAAAAAGCCCCTTGGTGTTCAGTGTGATTCACCACATAAGCAATAATGTTCATGGCCCTAGAATCATAGAAAACTAGGGCTGGAAGAGACCGCAGGGGGTCATCTAGGCCTTTCCAATTTCTTGCATACTGTGTTTGTTTTAAATTTCTCTCCCACAGCCCCTAATTCATCATTCAACCCCTCATACTTTACTACCCACAGCAGCTAAGATTTACTGGTCTGTATGCCCCTCTCTCCCAGCCCATTCTCTTTTCACAAAAAAGCAGTTCACATAAAAAGTAGGTGACTCAACAGCTGGCTTCCTGTAGAAAAAAACATTCTGAGGAGAGATTTAAGAGAGGGCAGGGTAGTGACATTTCAGATCTGCTCAGAAAAGGTGTTTCCTGCATGGAGGTAGCATGGAAGAAAGTTCAGAAATAACCACGTAAAGATTACAAGTGCTCTAATACTGTAGCAGAGAAAAGGCAAATACATTGGGCAAGTCAGTGTAATGTTAGGCAATTAAGGCTGTTTTAAATCTTACAGTGCTTGAATTTGATGTAAGGGAGAAAGGGGAGCCACGGGACTTGTGAGATAGATAAAACTATGGAGGTAGTGTTAGAGTGATGTTGTAGCAGGGATGGTCTGGGAATTATGCAAGAGGCAAGGATTTGTTCAGTGATACCTTTTATTAGACCAACTGCATAGCTGGGATACATTTTAACATCTTCCATGTTATGGTAGATCTAGAGGGATGTTGTAGCTGTGATGATCCAGGAATTATGTAAGAGGCAATAAATTTCTGGGGGGTGATATCTTTGATATCTATATCTTTTATAACTATGAATGAAGATCATCTTAATTTATCTTAATTTGTATGGAATGGAGAGAGACAATGTGGTCCTCGATTAACTGGTTATAGCACCCAAGACAGGAGATGATGAGGGCTTGTTTAAGTTTCAGTTCTAGAAAATTTTTTGCTTATATAAATGCATCAAAAGTCCAAGAACGGCTTGTAAGCGACTAATCAAACCAATAGCCAAATCACAAACTGGGCATGTTCCCAAAGGTTAGAGTTCTCTGCAAAGCTGTGTACTGACCTTTCCTTGGATGTGCAGTATACACTTTTTCATCTGGCATAAAAACTTACCACACTGATGGCAGCAAGGGGCAAAAAGCATCTGAAAATCATGTTCACAGTATTTCCTTCCTTCAAACTGCAAATGGAAAACAAACTGGGAGTTAGGTAGATAAAGATTGTGCTTCGTATTTCAAGACACAAACCTACTGTGAAAGATGGCTCACAAGGTAAAGCGCCTGGCACAAGACTTGAGCCTGCCTGGAGCTGCCCAATGTCCAATTTAGTTTGATTGTTCTCAATAGCCCAGTTGCCTTCAGGCAACCAGGCTCCAAGTTATAAACCCAAGACAACAAGAAAAAAAAAATACAATTGCTCAGTACTTCACAAACCACCAGACAGTCCAGATCTTGATCTGTCTCTGGTCTGGTCTCAGAACCAGGCCCTGGATCCTGCCTTAACTTTGTTACCAGAACCTGCCACAGTTCCAGCTCTGGTTATTGCTTTTGCCAAGTTCCTGTCGTGCACCAACCCTCCAGCCTTGCCTTTGCTCTGGACCTTTCTCTGTACGACTATGCTGAGCAGTGTTTAACAGTGGTTTCTGGCTCCAGACTCTTGGTCTAACTCCTGATGTTCCCTCCTGCTCTCTGAGTACATGACCTGGCCCTAACCGTTAAAAAAAAAGGACGCCTACACCCTGGATGGCAATAATGACCTGACTGTAGTGAAGATGAAAGATGCACAGAAACTGGTCCTTATGACAACCCCCCCTCCCCCAACTAGACAAATTGAAGAAGCAGGAATTCTGATCACCCCCCTTGTACATCTACATTAGCACATTTAGCACACCCTACACTTTTTAGTGCAATAGTAATTTCACTTTCACACAGCCAAGTATATAGAACTGTGACTCCATAGTAACATTTACATTATATCAGATAATACTTAAGTGCTGACAGGATGCTAAAAAGCTGGTGCTGTTTATAGTGCTACAGGCAGGAATTAACTTTGGAACTATATGTTCAACTTACAAAATTCCTTTCCTAGCAGGAACCATTTCCCCATAGCCCATCTGGTTGCCTCCCTGCTCTGCAATTCCCCAAAAAACAGCTTAACATGGGTAAGGAAAAAGGTACATGACCACAGCGCATCTCCATGTCAGACACTTCAGAGATTTACTATGCAAACAACTTGCTAGCGTAATGCTACTGTATAAAAGGGATCTTTGCCGGTCACAACTTTTATTGTAGAGGAATAGGAATTTAAAAATAATATTGCCATTAGATTAAAGCAGACAAAATGAGGGAGTTTATATGTATGGGACTGGATTCTGATCCCAACCACTTCCAAGTCCAGCATACTTCAGGTCTTCTTTTCTAGTTCAGGCTCCTCTGAAGAGAAAGATGTAGTGGGTTAACAGTTGCTCAGCTTTCATAGTCTTTAAGAGCTCAGCACAGTCTTTATTTCCTGAACTCACTTGCCTCACAGGAAACCCCACAAGCATATGTCAGTAATTAATGAACAAACATAAAAATAGTCCACAAGGGGTAACTCCCAGCCTGGGGCATTTTCCCAGACCCCCAAGGGGGTGACTTGGGCATTGTGCTGCTCCCTCATCACTGCAGTCTTTCCTTTCTCTCTCTGGTGCTCCTGCCTTGGTGTTGTTGCTTCCAGCCTTGCAGCCCCTGGGCCTCTTCCAAACCCTAGGAGAGCTGCTGGTCTGGTGTTGCAGCCACTATCCAAGCAACCTTTCTTTCTCTTTCTGTCTGTCTCCCAGTTTTCCCTCTGTCTCACTCTGTTTTTCTTATCTCTCTGACCCAAAGCTTTTTAACTCCCAAAGACCAGCCAATTATTGCTCTCAACTGGCCCACTCTTGTTGAGGCAGTATTGCAATCATCCTCTGCCTGCTTCCAGCTGGGCTGCAGTCCCTGAGGCAGGCAGCCTGCTACAGGTCTGTGAAATGGTTTCAAGGAAAAACTGATGCAGCACTGCAGAACATCTACCTAGACAGAACTGTAAAAATATGCATGCAAGCATGTCTGGGAATGGAAGAAAGCAGCGCTCATATTTGGGTGCCTTAAGGCATCTCCTAACCAGATGCAAATACCAGCTAACATGTCTAAACCAGACAGACATCATGATGATGCTATAAATGTTTGCCTTTTGAGTATATGCTTGTACAACACTATAGATATGGGGATAGCAGAATGTATGTTTTCTCCTGGAAATCATTTTAAAAGCTTAACTGAATATTAAGCAGAAATTGAGAAATAACATATAGAGCAATGTCTGCAGATTAGCTCCTTCATGCCTTTACTATGATGCTCTAAGGATCTGAAAAGCTTATATCTTTGTGAATCAAAATAAAGAAGTAAAAGCCAGAGTGAACTTTTAGAAGCAGTGAGCTTAGCATACACATGACTATTCCCTGGAAACTTAAAATTGCAAGCTTAGTTCTCATGCTCAACCCAATATTAAAGAATGAAAGGTTCTTTATTTTTCAACCCCTCTGATACTAGTGCAAAACAATAAGCATCATTATGTAATTCTGCCAAGTACTTTGCAATGCAATGCAACTAACACTGCAAAACAGATTCCAAAGAAGTGATTTAGAAAATGTAGAAGGTTTAGATATGCTAGCATATCAATATAAAACTGCAGTCCATTTTATCTATTTATTGACAATCATACCTTTCTCTTGCCAAACAAAACATATCTTAAACTGAGAAACCAGAATGCTTCCTATTTTATGTTAACAAATGAGAGAGTGGCAATGTAAAGGTTAATTGTGTTTGGCTAGCAGAGCCACTAACCACCACTCTGGGAAGCAGAACAGGTTTTCCTCCCTTCCGAGTTTGTGCCAGGCAGGCGTATTCCATTACTGTAAAACTTGTTTATATTTTTCAGTGATTTGGGTTCATTTTGGCTGTGTTCTCTGGGCTGAGTTTATCTAGCAATGAAAACCTGCAGTTCATGTAGACAAAGTCACTTGACTGACAAAAGAAGGAGTTCCAAGAATCAAAAGTTTCCATGTAAAAAATTCTCAATGTAACATCATCACTGATTACTTGCAAATCTCCAGGTATTTACTAAACAGTGTTTCTTCAAGGATCCCCTGGCCCTAGTACTGTTTCTGCTTGGCACAGAAAGAAAGGTCTCCAGATGACGGTGCAATATAAATAATAATAAAATTTGCAACTTGTATCATACAAAAAACTAGAACTCTGGGTTCCAAAATGATACCTTTTAATAGACCAACTGGAAAATGGCAAGAAAATTGTCCTTTTCTGCAAGCTTTCGGGAATCAAAGTCCCTTCGTCAGGCTCTGGGAAAAGTGTAGATGGTACAAGATGGTAAAAAGTCCTCATAGGTCGGAAAAAACTTCATTTTTGCACAGAGGGAGCTGAAGATGGAAGTCTGTCCCTCTGGGTCAACTTTATCATAGCAGCCTCCTGCCATAAGCCACTATTATCTTCTGGAACTCAAAGGAGAATTCACCATCACTTGTACATAATGTAAAACTTGTGAATTATTATCCAAGCCAAACTTCCTAAAAATTCAGATCCCACTCCTAGAACTTTCTTGAGTGCTTGAACTGTTTGCTCCACTTTTTCAGGGGAAGAGGAGAGAAAAGAGTTTTCTCATGTCCTTTCTCGTATCACAGTTACAGTAGGCTCTACTCCTGAAGAAGCAGCCCTATGAAAGGGAACTATATGACAAGTCTCTTTTCTGACCATACAGTAGCCACTCTAAATGGAAGAGTGATGACTGATGACATTCAGTATCACTGAGTGGGTTACTGGCTTACTGTTTACTTGAACGTTCTGATTTACAAATTGGCAGATTTATATCAGTGGTCCAGGATTATGGTTCACTGCCCCTCTGGACATGCTGGCACCAAAATTCCCAATTTAAGTAGATTGTTTTGCTGTTATTAGTAACAATGCATGGTCACGTACCTGTTATAAATCTCTAATGAGAACATTCCATTGCCAAATTATGGTATAAAACTAGAGGTAAACTAGTGAATCCAAAGCACAAGAGTGTCTGGAATGGAGATTGGTTTTAGATAAGAAAACACGCTAACTTGGTGAGGCCAAACAAAGGAAAACAAGCATTTCAAAGCAAATAGTAGACAAGGACTCCTATGTTACACTACAAACAAAACTTACTTCAACCCACAAACCACAAGACCAATAATGGTTGGTTAATCAACAACTTAAAAGGAAAACTTTAAGATCAATTTTTTGCATGTGCTTGAGGCCAACAAAAGTCTCACTAAGTCTGTAGGGACATGGGCTGGGTAAGAATCTTTACTCCAGCACTTAGCTGCAGCTGCAGTTATCCTAAAGACGATGTGAAAAGAGCTACGTAAAATGTCTAGGAGTTCTTTGTCTGACCAGGATTCTTGCGTCAGCACAGCTAACCAGAACTACTGCACTGATGCCAACGCCCGATTGTAGATGCACTGCACTGGTGTAATACAGGGCATGTTTCATTGGTAATAGGTCTACAGAGAATCACAGGCAGCAGTGACAGGACAGGGAGCAGAAGCACAGCAGCAGCTTGGTCAGGGAGCTGAGCAACAAAATGGAGTAGCACTCAAGGAGGTTGTGGGGCTAATTTGTGGCTTGCATGCCAAAAAAGGTTGGGTTCACTGGGTTAAAGCATGATCAGATAATCCTAGAAGAGGACTGTGCCCTATGCTACAAAGAAAGGCGAGGGCTACTGGGATTTTTTTTGTCTATTTGACCAGGGGAAGAATTTCTGCCTCACCCCATATCTACTAACCTGTTTGACCCTATATCTATGACCTAGCCCCAAAAGACAGGCACCTGAAAGGTCTGTCACGCAAGCAGAGCAGACAAATGCAAAATGATAAACAGCTAATTACCATTAAGAAAATCAGTGTATTCTAAGAAACTCCCTCCTCGAGTTGCAGTCAATGCCCAATGTTTTAGTGGACGGGGAAAAAAACCCCAGAAGCCAATAATTAACTTATGGGTGGGGGGGAAGGGAGAAGAGGGGAATCTTTCTGGGCCACACAGGGAACTAGTAGAAGCCCCAAAGCATGGGTTTTGCAGATACCTTTCACAAAAAGGTCAAACTTCTTTTTGACCTCCTCATGAGGATATTAGATACTCCACTATGCATATGACAAACATACTGCTACCTCAAGAATACCCCTGGGTTATCATACCATATATTCTATAAACTTGAGAACCATTTGAAGCCATTCAGATCCTCTGATCCCACAATTTTTTCAGAAGACTGCTCCAGACATTCACTTCTCTGAAAATAAGAAAGCTTCTTCTAGTTTCTAATTTTTTTCATGACTAGCCTGTATTATGTATCTGATCTTGTGTAGACATTGTTTAACATGGCTAGTTCTTCCCCCTCCCTAATGTTCACTAAAAAGTAATCTGTCTAGAAAAGGCCTAAGAATCTATCACCTGAGCACACAGATACCCAGAGTGATGACTAGTTAAGAGAACTTTGAAGTGGCTTAGGGATGGAGGAAGGGGACACCGTGATTGTTAATAGTTGGAGACTTCTTCTGTAGAAGATGCTTAGGGCAAGAAAACCAAGGATTTAGGAGAACAGGCCTTCTGGATCCTTGTCAGAGGATGTAACAAGCTGAAATAAATCTTCTCACAAGAAGAGAACAGTTTTAGGTACAGGAGTCATACGTTTGTTGGTATAAAGAGAAATTGCCAGGCCAAAGGAGAAAGAGTAGCATGACTGAAGACAGAGATACCACTGGAAAGTCAAATACAACACAGGACTTTTCAAGGTCACTTATCCTAATCAGTATTACTCCCTTTCTAACACACTTATTTAAAAGAAGGATTCTGTATTTATTTGAATACAAGACAAGGCCAAGTGAAACAATGTGTCCTGCCCTGGCAACAGACAGCTGTCAGGCCCTATCTCCAAGATCAGAGCTGGAGCTGGGACAATGACCGTTGCACTCATAGCTACGTGCTGCCCAGGCCAGCTCCAATCTCAGAGCCATGGCTGGGACAATATTCCCTGCCCCTGCAGCTGCCTGTTGCTGGGGCCAGCTCTGATCTTGGAGCTGGCCCCAGCAGCAAGCAGCTGCAAGGGCAGGGGACAACATCCCAGCTCCAATCTTGGAGCTAGGGTCCAACAGCTGCCTACTACTGGGGTAGGGGACAATGTCCCAGTCCCCACTCCAAGATCGGAGCAGGGGTTGGGCAGTAGGCAGCTGCCCGGGGTAGGGGCTTGGGGTGAGAGGCAGCTGCCCCAGGGTGCAACAGGTCCCCCCACCTTATAGAGCCCAGGCCTTATCCTGGTGCCCCCTGCCAGAGCTCCCCCTGGCTGTTACATGGGAGCAGAGCAGAGCAGGAGTAGCTCTACCCTGAGATGCTCACGTCAGGAGCAAATTTGCTCCAGATGGGCACACACATAGACGAGCTCTTAGCACAGTAAGGATTCTGCACATTAACTGCACGTGTAGACATGCCCAGCTTGTACAGTATATAAGTACAAAAGTGCTATTTAAAAGTATGTTTATGGAGTACATTTGCTAAAACTTGCAGCAGTTTTCAGAAAAGGTAAAATGCATCAATGTTGGATAAGCCAAGTCTATTGGTACCTGTACTAATTTGCCTACATGCACCTTACTGCAGGCATTTTTATTTCAAGGTCAATGTTTTCAAATTTGCTCCTCACCTCCATGTACTCAGGGAGAGCGGGGTCTGATAGTAAGGGAGGGAGGGGGGATACCTCACCCCCCCCCCCCCGATTTATTTTCCCTGCTGTAGCAGGGGGAAGGGGACAAATTCAAGGCAAACCTCCAATAATTAGATTCTATACCTGGAAAATTATAACATTTATCATTTTTCCATATATAGAATCTAATTATTGGGGGCTCATCTTATATTCAGGGATATCTTGGATTCAAGTAAATACAGTAATGCCTTTGTAGCAAATGGCAATTTCTATACAAGCTAGGAGCTACCTCCTTGAAAGTAAAAACATCACACAACTAAACTCACTGGAAATTAATTTGACCAATGATACTGAAGAAGGGCTACTTTTATCTCTAGTATAATCTATCAACAGTTACCTTTGCCTTTAAGAGGAAGGCTCACTTTAAAGTAAAACAGGTGCTTTAAAACAGGGGAGGAGAATGTTAAAGGATGCATTAAACAGATAATGGTGGGGCACTTGCTCCCTTCTAAATGCAAAAAGCCTAGCCACAAATGCACCCGAGAAGAACAGGGGAACAAGATCATGCCGAGGCTTTGCATGGGTATTGGTTGGAGTCATGTTGATCTAAGGACATAGGCAGACAAGGTTATTTGGGTAAATCTGATATCTTTTATTAGATCAACTAAAATAGTTGGAAAAATTCTTCTTTGCAAGCTTTCAGGTACAAGCATTTTTCTTCTGGCTGAGGAAGTATGCAGTTGTTCCATGTTCTTCCTGGACAGGAAAGAATAGAATGGAAGCCCGAGGCTGTGCATAAGCACTAAAGAGATTTTACTCATTTTTGGGGCTAGGTGCAAATATGCTGATCTGCAACTTAAGCCTTTCCTTCCAGTGTTCCTGCACTATCCTACATAAGAGGTGTTTCAAAATCTTCACGTTTGCAGAAGTCTGAAAGCACTAAAATGCCAGTTCCACAGCAGCCAGGGTAGCAAGTTGCCAGCAAATCCACAGAAATCACCCACCCAGCCTCAGCCTCCTCTGAAAGCAGCCAAAAGTAAAAGCAGCTAAAGCTAAAAATGGAAAAAGGAAGAGCTGTGTTTGGCTCAGAGAAAATTCAAGAATTTGGAATTGCTTGGGAAGAAAGGAAATCTGAGACTCAGCTCCTGGAACTTGGAAATGGCTATTGAAATATTGAGCTTGGAAATGGCTATCCAAAGCCTATCTGTAAGAACTGAACTTGTATGTTAAGATATGTTTTTAATCCACTTCCGTTTGTTGCCTAGAATGCCCACTCAGCTAAACCCTTGGCACCATACCATGATGATGCTCTGGTGAATTCATATGACCAAGATTTCTCTGATGTCAGTACTCCTGCATTGATAGCAAACATATAGTTTCAGGTTTTCAATTTTGGATAAGATCTTAGTATGTTTTCTGAGTCTTAGCACACAAAACCATCAAAAACTATTTAATGATACAAGTCCTCTCCAGTGTTAAATACTATCCACAGTGACAATATCCCAAACTAGATCTCAGTAAAGAAAGTGGCAGGATGATTTTATATTTATCTCATCACAGGAAATTAATATTTTACACCAATGTGTATTTAAACTGTCAGAATCATTATGTTGCCTCTAAAATGAACCTCATTACAAATACATGCCTGTGACAGACATTTCTGTTAAAGATTTTCAAACTAGAGTGCATATTCCATCATATATAGAGACAACATTTCAAGCAGAGCTGCTTCATGTTTACATCATTAAATGACTAATGATTATATCCTTAAATGGAATCTTCTGGACTACTACAGCACTGATTTACTGCTTAACTGGAACACTACATGTAGCCTAGTCATCCTCACGTACATCACAGCTCAGTGAAAGAGATGGCAATTTACAGCAACAACACTGTGGAAAGCAAACTGTCACACTCTTTAATTAAATAATGAGTGTGCTTCTTTTCATACTGTATTATGTCTGATACACCTCAGATCCCTACACAATTTCTCCTTTTGTTAGATGGTTGTCCCCATTTTGAGAACACAGTATGACATAAATCTTCCTGTGCTTTCAACCACTATTCCAATTTAGATTGCAAACTATTTAGGCTGTGATCCTATTACGTTAAGTGCTGTGTGAAGCACTAAATAAGATGCCTATATACAAATGCTTCAGTCATAAATAAAAAATTAAATAGAAAAGTCTAAACTGAATCAGCATTAAGGGTGTAACTGGGCTAGCATTGTCTTGTGGCAAAAGCACTGGACGTGAAGTGAAGGAAATCTTGTTTTTAGTCTCAAAACTGCCCCAGACATCCTGTGTGATCATGAAAAGTTACTTAGGAACAAGATTTTGAAAAGACTGCGAGGGTGTGAGGAGGTTTTGAAATCTGGTCTTTAATCTTTTTGAGCTTCTGTAAACTAGAAACAAAGCTGTTCCACATTGCAGGCAATCGTTTTTCTTACATATCAATTGCTCAATATCATACCATAGGCAAAATCCTCTCTAAGGCCATTGCTGATCCATCAATATCATACCATAGGCAAAATCCTCTCTATGCCCATTGCTGATCCCCAGCCATTACTCAGAAAAGGGAAAAGGCAACTGGATTATGACACATTTGACCTCTGGGTTTTTGAAAAAACATGGTGAGGTGTCTTCCCATGCAAAAACATAAGAACTTCTCTAATTCAGAATGACCCCTGAGGGCTGTGTCTAGGAAGTGAGTCACAGAAATGACACATTCTGCACCCAGGATGCAGTGGGATGAGCAACGGCTACAGCATTAAAGCAAAACCAACTTTTCACTTTGGCTACTTTAGGAAGGTGATGTTTACTAGAAAGGATCCTGAATTGACCCAGTTGATCTGAATCCCATCTGGCTTTCCGTATATTCAGATCTGAAGCTCAGTCTCATGGCTTGAGCTCATTTCTAACAGAAAGTATTTGGGAAAAGTCTGAGTTGTATTGAAGCCAATGACAAAATTCAGTGAGGACTTCAGTGGAGCCAGAATTTCATTCTACATTTATTCCATTTTAGTAGCTCTGTTTTCTCTGTGCCTCAAGCGTAATATGTAGCATGTGTCTTCATACACTGTAAGGAAAAGCCTGCATTTACCACAATGCTTGGGATAACCTAGTAGGTTTTTGCCCATCACTAATTCTGTGACTAAAAAAGATGTTAACATTCTCAAATTGCAATGACATTCTCTATATTGGCATAGAAATGCTTCTCCTCTCTTCTGGATATCTATTTTCAAAGAACGATACCACATTTTGCATTACATGAACAGGTGCATTTTCCATTTACACCTTAAAAAGGAAACCCAGGAAGTCAAGAGAAAAATATTTTAACTTGTTTACCTCATAGAAGAGCCCTTCAGGGAACTGCTGAAAGCACTGGGCACACACAAAACACTGCTCATGGTACAGTTCACCATTGCTGTTAACGATTTTCTCAGCAGGTGCGAAGCCTCCTCTGCAGCGCTCACAGATGGCATTTGCAAGAGCATTTGCCATATTGCTGTAATGAAAGCAAAATAAAACAGGAAAAAGATTACACTGCTTCTCTGAAAGAAAGGGATAAAGAAGAAGAAAACTTCCAGATCCCTTGATTTTAACTTTTTTTCTTCTCAAAAGCCACCTAGCCTTATCCAATTCCCACTGAAGTTTTTCTGAATAACAGTGTTTAAAGTGCCACCATCATGCCTTGCCATGTGCCTGATTTCAGACTAGTACAGCTAACTACCTCTTTATACATTGACTTCAATTGGAGCTGAGACAGTTCTACAGACAGAAAATAGTAAAACGTCATTTAAATCCATCCCCCGTCCAAGCCCTTTAGTAATAGCATATTTGCAGATTTGTGTGAAGGGAAAAAACAGGTAGTTTTCTGTAACAAGACAGAAGATGAAAATAAAATTATAATGGTTATGCAAAACAAGAGCCCAGCTTATCACTAATTAAAAATTGGTTTTCCTCTGTGAGATGAAACCAAGAATATTGCTCTAAAATGCACGTAAAACCAGTACAAAGTATCTAGGGCATCAATGCACAGGAGTGGAATTCATAGTACTTAGCTTCTGTGGCAGAAATAACCAATGCACAGAAGAGTGCTCTTAAGAAATATTAATTTTGCAAAATAATTCCAGCTACATGGAATCTGAATCAGAGACTTGAAAACCACCCACGTAAATAACCTAGGTACTTCTGGGTTCCTAGGCATTTGTAATAAAATGTTAATGCAACATCTGCAAAAATCAGAAACCAAACTCACTCTTCAGGTTTGAATATTCAACTGCAATAAATCAGCATTGCTCCATATCTGTCAACTGGGGGACCTGGCTCTAATTTTTTTAAGCCCTCGGACTTTAGGCTGTTTCCTTGCTTACACCTAAATTCACAAAAGTCTTTGAGGCAGAGCTCTCTACCTGTACCTTTATGTGGGGAGCAAATACAGGGCAAATGATCAATTTAAGAATATCTGGCAAACCACTTGCAGAACAGTTATAGAGTATAGATAAAACCCATTTAAGGGATGTGAATTTTCTGGTAAGATGATTGACTGAGGTATTTTTATAAGAGAAACTGTTTCTATTCTTCAGTAAGTAAAAAGATGATTTCTGTGTTTGACAGGAAGTCATGTTGCATCCATATAAAGGGAGAGCAACATCCTCTATAACAAGGGTTGCCAACCTGCAGCACAAGTGTCACAGGCGGCCTGTGTGTATGGCTCATGGCAGATCAGGGAGAGGAGAAGCAGCACAGTCACAGAAAGCAGAGCTGGAGATTGGGCAAAGTACAAGGTAGGGAGCAGAAAACAGAGCAGCAGACCAGGCAGAGCATGGGGATTAGAATGGCACTCAGGGGGTACATCTACACATGAGCAATAAACTTGGCAGCTTTTTGCTTCCAAGTTTATTGCTCCTGGGAAGCTCCCTGGCATGTGGTTTAGACGCGTGCCCAAACTGCAGCATACTGAGCCAGGTCTGAGCAGCCTCGGCTGGCAGGGAGTCAGGGGGGTCAGCCTGCCAGCCTGGAGCTGCTCTGACCAGGCTCAATGTGTTGCACAGGGACTGGATAGGGCACAAGTGTGCTCCAGTGTGGGGCGAGCCAGCAGACAGCCTCTGCACTGAAGCACCCTCATGCCCTAGGCAGTTGGGTCTGAGTCTACACATGTGCAGCTGTGCACAAAAAACTGCAGCAGGGTAGGACTTGTAAATACTCTGCTGCAGAGTTTATATTAGTTTCCTGCATCCTAACAGGGGTGCATGTCGAGACGCAGAGACATTTACTGCAGAATTAATTGGTCAGCTTTACAGTAAATGCCTCATGTAGGCACACTCAGGGACAGTACAGGGCCAATTTGTGGCATGCCTGCCAAAAAGGCTGGATGCCGAGTATTACTTTGCAGGTATTAGTGTCCTCAACTCCAACTGACTTCCTCTGTACAAAACTTGCGTCGGTTCATGGTATTACATTAACACAGATTGTGAACAGATCTGTGATTCAAGGACTAGACTCCTAAATCACCTCAAGACCCATCAGTGAGCCTTGGCAGAGATCATCCTTGAATTGAGGGAGTGCCAACGATAATTAACACAGTTCTTATTAAATGGTTCCAAGCTGAGGAACTATATTTATTCTTTATACCAGCGAGTCTCAACAAGGAAACAGAGATCTTTTAAAGGGTGATATTAGCACTGTTAGGTGCTCCAACATGATTCATAAGATAAAACCAGTGATTTCAAATAGGAATCAATCGTGTCAGAAACCTTCTATCTTGCTGTGGTCGTTTTGAGTTCTTTGCAACAGAATAATTGCTCTAGTATTTTTTATAGTCACAAAACTAGTAAAAACCAACTCATTTTCTGAGGGGTGCTGTCTAATGAGGGGTGCCTCAAATCTGAAAAAGCTGAGCAGCACCGTACATAGATTCCTGGCGGCCCCACATGAACTTTTAGTATCAGGCCCCGCTTCACCAGAGATCGTGATACTATTAATAAAAAAATTACCATTTTCAGGCCCCCTATTTGTCTGGGCCCTGGGCAGCTGCCCGGTTCGCCCATGCCTGTGTTCGGTCCTGAAGCTGAGAACTACTACCTAACACTACACCACAGAAAAATAGCAAGCCCTGCTTAAAACAGCACTTGCCTGGTTATTAGTAATCTGCTGGTTTTTCTATTCTACAACTCTTTTCAGAAGAGGGTGACAGTAGCTGCATTTTCCACATAAACCTCAAGAGTATCAGATCAAGAGTATTCCATTTCTCACAGGGTCTCAAGCAAATGCACGTGTGTGCACGCATGCACGCATGCACAAATAAGAAACGTAAAGAATGTCTAGCTGTATTGCTAACTGCCTCTCTTCATAAACTACTTCTGTCAAAACTATTGTGCTTTTTCAAAGGGAAACAGGTTATTTCACACCCTATCTACTGAAAAAGTGTCCAGATTTGGTGTGAATATTGAACACAGTATAACTTGCAACCTTTTCTATAGCTCGACAGCTTTTGCACAGAAAAGGTGAACAGATATTGTACCTTAGAATTTAACTTCAAGCATTTCTTGGATACAAAGTACTATCTAACCACAAGTAGTTGGTGAAGAAACTTCGAAAAGCATAGCTTTTAGCAAAACCAAAAAAACCCAGAAACAAGCAAACAAACAAAAAACCCCTCACCCTCAAAGCTTTCTTTTCTCCCTGCAGAACTCTCAAATACTTAATTCACTTTACTTTGAGAAATGTCAAAATTTCCTAATGGCAACATAAGCTTACTATTTGTTATGGTAATCAGTAATTATCCACCAAAATGTAATAAATAGAAAGTTACGGTACCAGTAAGATCATTTGTACCTTTTTCCCCAAAATTTGTACAAACTAATATCCAAGTCTCACACACATAATTTGCTTTGCAAGTGCAAAATAGTTCATTAAAAAAAATCACGTGGGGATGAAAACTACCAATTAATCAATCACAACAAGTGGAATTGCACTAGAGAATGGATCAATCCTATTCTATACAAAATAAAACGAGTAAAGACAACTACAGATGTTAAAAGGTGATCTGTCAAATAACATCCAAATGCTGAGCAAGTGAACTTACGATCTTGCGTAAAAGTCACAAAACTCTTTGTATACTTTTATTTCACTGTGCCTACGCTGTAATTTTGACACTGGTTTTTCGCCTTCATTTCCTCTGATATCGTAGGCATCCTGAGGGACCTTGTGTGGAGCGTCTTCAGTCTCTGGAATCAGATAGGAGCAAGCTCTGCTTTGGAATTCCATCCTTCGTTAACTATTATGAAAAATCCACTGTAATACTCAAAAGGAAGCTGCAGACAAAAATCCAGAGAAACAATATGCAGGAATCCTCCTTGTTCCCAGGGAAGTGATTTATTTTCACAGTGTCATGTCAGTTAGCTCAGCTTGTCGAGCACTCTGGTAGAGCTTCACGTTAAGAGCTCAGCGGCAGAGCAGCTAGAACGTCATGCTGCTATTTACTAAGGGGTCACTGGAAGCTGAGGAACACATTCCATTACAAGGTTGTAATACAAACTTGGACAGTACATCAGGGCTTCACTATCTATTGCCGATAGAAGAATTCTAGTCAGGCACAGAAGAGCTATTTTATGAGTAAACTTGTACAAGCGAACACATTAATTGTCAAGCTCATCAAGTTACTAGAGGAAAAAAGTACTAGGTAGAAAAAAAATGACCACAGTGCTACTTTATCATGAAAACACTAACACTGAAAAACATACAAGAAATATTTTGTCACTAGATGAAGATTGTTTTTAAACTTCTGGCAAACTAAATTGTAAAAATAGCCTTTTGCACTACTAACGAGTCATTCTTAGTTAAGTAGTCTGAGATTATAGATCAACAAGGACTTAAACTGCAACAAGGGAAATTTAGATTGGATGAACTCTCTCACTAAGAGGGTGGTTAATCACTAGAACAAACTACCTAAAGAGGTTCTGGAATCTCCTTCATCACCACACATTTTTAACTGAGGGTTAGGCAAACACTTGGCTAAAATGGTTTAAACCGAGGTATCAAAGATATGGCCCATGGGGTCCAACAGCTGGCCCCTGCCCCTGAGTCTCGAGTTGAACCACGTGAGGTGTGCACTGGACTGGCCCCATGCGTAGGGCCCAAGACATGCCAAATGCGATGCCTGCTCCAGCCAGTGTAGGACATGCATTGCATGTACAGACCACTCTGAGACCTGCACTACAAGCAGCACCCGCACACAGCCAGTTCAGGACCCCTCCGCCCGCCACACACCAAATCTAATAGCCGTGGCGCTTGCTCTAGGACTGTGCTGCACAACCGGTTTGGGACATATGCTGTGTGTGATCCACATCCCAGACTGGCTGGAGCAGCTGCTGTATCTAGCATGTGAGGAAGGGCATGGGACTCATTTGGCCTGCAGGGCTGGCCCTGAGTCATTCACCTGGCCTATGCACTGGTCCTGTGCCACTCATCCAGCCCATGGAGCCTGATCACTTTGACACCTCTGGTTTAAATAGTCATGACTCTTCCTTGATCAGAAAGGGCTGTCCAAGATCAGGGGTTGGTATCCTATAGTCTCTGGGCTGTAGCCAATGGATATGGTAACCTACAGTCTACCCTGCAGAGCCTATAGATCCAAGAGGACTCTAGTGGTATTCATGGAGCAGGAGGGCCTCATTCATGCTATGTTGCATTGCAGCTAGGTAGAGTGTGTGGAGGTTATTCCAGCCTGTCACCACAAAAAGGCTACCAATTGCTGGATTAAATGACTTCTTAGTGGTTCCTACCAACCATATTATTCTGATCCTATAACAATTTTCTTCCTAGAAAAGCAGAGGGTTTTTTTTTCCATTTTCCTTTCATTAACAGAATTGCCAAGAAAGGTGTAGTTAACTATGTTAGAAACAGTGATAACAAACTTGATTTTCAGTTACCAGGCTGTGCTTGCAGCACTGTACTCATAGAAAAAGTCCTATACAGATTGGAAATCTGAAAAGGGAAGAGAAGAGAGAAAACCATCCTGTTATCACATGGATGACAATTCCTGATGCTGAATGACACCATTTTTTCGTATTATTTTAATGCTACATTCTTCTTAAAAACAATATCATTTTCCAAGTTCTACCAATGGTAGGCCTCTTAGAGTAGTTATCTCACCCCAGGAGATTATGCATCTTTCGGTTCCATAGGAAGGTCAGATAAAGTCAGGACTGGCAGCCAGTAACTATGCTCTCTTGCCATACTCTAGCTGGTTAAAATCTGATACCTGTGACACAGATGACAGGCCTAACCTCTAACAGCTTTGGACTTTCAAACTGAAATGGATAGCCCAAGTAACTAAGTGATGTGTCACAGTCAACTGACTCTCATTAGCAACTGGTTAAAAATGCACAGTAAAGCCACGCACACGTTACCTTGTTGACAGGAGTGGTTTTGGTATCTATGCTTGTTACTGTGTAGCATGAGAAAGCCAGGGCAGAGATCAGGGAGAGACTAACTAGGAACGAACACTTGAGCTCGCAAACACAGAAAACTGACAATATTAAGGGAACTCCAATAAAGCTTCTGTTTCTTAGGAAATGCCAGCGGCTTTAAAAAAAAGGAAAGGCCCTGTTTGTACTACAATTTTTGACCATGTTGAAAATAACGATCGGCACAGCTGGCTGACTCCAAATAATGTTCGAGGCAACATTGAGTATGGTTAAAAATGGCAGCAAGACACCCTTAGCAGAGGCCTAGTCTGACACTTGGCTGTTTTTCTGCCACCAAGCTGTGTTTTTGCTGTAAGGGACAAACAGAGATGTTGTGCAACTGGTTTGCGCCTGTCCTACATCCACTTTCTCTTGGCTGTATGACGCTCTGGAGCATGCTTCCCCCATGTGCAGCTTGCAGTTTTCTGTGGGCAGGTCCTACAGGCATTCTAGCCACAGACTAAAAACTCACTGGATTGCAGCCTGGGGTGTCACAGGACATGCCTTTAGCATATGGCTCAGCAGAAGCACTGGGTCACATGCTCCAACATGGCTTTGATGCCAGAATTGCTGTCATGTAGACACAAACTGAACCTGACGTGCTACCTGTCACTAATTAAGGAGGTGAGATTTTTTTTAAATGACTTAAAAGACACTTTACCAGTATAATGGAGACAGGACTTAGCACCACCTGTACTTCATATAATGATGTCTGAATCAAACATTTTTCCTCCCCCATTCCCCCGCCCCCACAGTGTAATCTTGAAACAAAATATGTGGCAGGTGCATGGACAGGAGACAAAATCTGTAGCTGTTTCTGTGGAACATTTACAAGTACTTTAATCCGTTAGAGCAGAAGTCTGCAATCAAAAGCTGCAGACATGCGGCTTTGGCAGCATTTGGCAGTAGGGACAAGTGAAGGCTGAACCCTCTCCCTGTGGCTTCAGACAGAAACTGCGATGATGGCAGCAGGGTCCTAGTGCCATCTTGACACACACTGTTCCTCTACTAAGCCTTAGTGCCACTCTTTTATTGATTAATCCTGCCCTTCCTGTGGAACTAAGAAGGCAAAGAAGCTTCATCATGATACTGTATCATTAACCCAGGGCTAGTGTGCATCAAGAGGTAGTCTTTGTCACAACCCAAGGGTGTGATTTTTGTTTGTGCGCGCTTCGGCACTGCTGAATTATTTCCTGCCACTTGTAGCTTTCTTTGCAGGGTGCATTTCTTCGTTGCAACACAGAAATGCACATTGCAAGGAGTTCCCGCCATTTGTATTCAAATTCGTGTCCCACTATTGGTCAGTTCTAAATTATTCCTACGTGGCGGCTAGCAATTGGCTTGCTAGCCATATAAGAGGCTTGAGTGGTTTCCGCCCAAGTTGGAGGACTCCACGAACATCAGGAGGAGGAGACTTCACATCTCGTGAAGATCTCTAAGCGCTGTGGAGCCTATTGGACCCAGCATGTATTTCAAGAAGGCTATAGGGGTCTGATCAGCCTCTCGCCTCTCCCCGTCGCCGCCTAATCCCTCGACGTACCCTTCCCTGTGCGCACAAGTTCCACGGAGCCTAGCAATCTTCATGTGAGTGAATCCAGAGCTCTGTCTGAGTCCTTACACTGGGACTTAAGCAAAGTTTTCCTGGAAGTTTTCCAGCCTGCACCGCGACCATCTACAGTGTAAGTAAACAATCTTAAATCAACCATTAAGCGTCCATGCCTAATTCTAGTGTGCCGCCTGCCTTCCCCGACCTGGCGTGTCCGGGCTGCTGGCCACAGCCTGCCGTGCGAAAAAAAAGGGCCTCGGACCGCTCCCGGCCCGCACAGTCTTAACATGGTGCCCACTGGGCACCATTAGGGTTTACAGTTTCCCAGTTTATGAATTAAAAAAATCCTCCTGGATTGTAAAGCATTCATCCAGGGGAATAAGTTCAAGGTGCAAACAAAAGCACACAAAAAGGCCCAAACTGTATTTGTACTGGTAAGGCACCTCCCATTTAAATGTTTTAACACAGAGTGAAGCCTGGATATCAGAAGCATTTTAGAGGTGGAGAAAAGTAGCAGTGGCGGCTGGTTTGGAAGTGCTGGCCTTTCTGGAACTGAGCTGTGTTATTTCAGCCTGCTGCTCTGAAAAGCTTGCCAACCTATGGACGAGAATAAACGCCTGTTGTTTCTACAGGCTAAGCTCATTGGAAATGCCAAGATTCCTTTGTTTCCCTCTATTTTTCTTGCCCACAAAGCCCTCTGTATGCTACTTTCCCATCCCCCTGTATGCCTGTGGGACCCCAAAAGCCAATTCCTCCTCATACCAATGGCTCCTACGTGTCTCTTCATTCTGCCCCTCCCTGAATTTTCCCTTTCCTATCTGGGGAGGAGAACGATGCATGGCCCTCATTTTCCCTTTCCACTGTTATAAACAAATGGATAACAGAGGCACATCTTCAAGTGGAACAGAAGGCGCAGCAAGCTTGTATTATAAAGGAATAACTGGCCAGCTGTCAGATGCATTTTGTATGCTAGATGCTTTTACAGTTCCTAGGCCTCTTCATTCAGTAACAAAATGGCTTTCTGGCAGGTAAGCCCTGAGTGTTCAACTGTGAAAGCTCTAGGCCAGTGATGTTCAATCACAGTGATGCTCAATCAATGTGCCCCAGCCCAGAAAATAAGGCAGGTAAGAGCAAGCTCAAGCTCTCTGGGTCTAGCTGCTCCCCTTGCCCAACTACCCAGCCTCACTGCAAGAAGGGAAGCCCTGTGATAAAATAAATGCGTTTTTTAAATGAGGTGTCATTCAATTCATAAAAGGTATGGAGGGGTGCCTTGTGTCCAGTGAGAGGTGCCTCACATGTAAAACAGTTGAAAACCTCTTGGCCCAGATTCCATTCTCTCTTCCTCTGGTATTCAGGAACAAATCCAGTAAAATCAACAGACATGTAGCTGTAAGTCTAGCTAGAGTTCTAGCAGAAGCTCCCTGCGTTTATTTTACAT